TGTGTGTGTGTGTGTGTGTCACTTCCTTTCATTTCTCACTTCTGTCTTTTATGCACATATCTCACATTTAGGTCTTTCAGTGACGGATTAAAATAAATGGCAATCGGTCCTTGATGATTTCAATCGGCCGTGTAATCAGAACAAGTCAAAAGGAATCGCTGACAATTACCATTTTAAAATAAACAGGAGTGTTGCTCTGATTATTATCACGCTAGAGTCGTGGCTCTAGGGTTGACAGATGCTGGACGGACACTTTGATCCAGACAGAAATGTTTAAACAACTAGGATTTCTTTCACTTTTAGCATGTGTGTGTGGCGACTAAACTCCCAATAGTCCCGTAGAGGCTAAATGTGGCTCTGTTATGCGTTTCCAAGAAGAGTGTCTACTGAAGTGGTTGTTCACGATATTTATTTTATCAAATAAAACACACAATAGCTAATATAAAGGTCAACAGAAAAATACAACAGCCAGCTCACCCTCATTGTCTTTCCATGACAATGAGGGTGACTAATTACGACTGTGTGTGTTGTAAACAATTAATGATGATAATAATAATAATATAAATAATAAGCAATAGCAAAATAAGCATTTTGGCTCCTACATGTACAGTCCAATCCAACTTTATTTATTTTATATAGCACTTTAAAAACCTTCAGACCAAAGTGCTGTACAGAGAGATAAGCTCACACAACATCATATAAATACATTTAAAATACAAGATACAAACACAAAACAAACCAGAATAAACGTAATAATTAAAAAATAAATAACAGCCATATAATAAAAAACAATAGACCACTGAAAGCAAATAAAAGCAACAATCTACTTGTTTCTGAATGCCAAGGAGAAGAGGTGGGTTTTAAGACGAGATTTAAAAGCAGTCAGTGTGGTAGCCTGTCTGATGAGCAAGGGCAGGTCGTTCCACAGTGTAGGGGCGGCAGCAGAGAAAGCACGGTCCCCTCTGCGCTTAGACTTTGTTTTTGGCACCCTCAGGAGCAACTGATCAGCTGACCTGAGAGTGCGAGTGGACGTGTAGCTGTGTAACAGCTCAGAGAGGTAGGGCGGGGCCAGGCCATTGAGGGCTTTAAAAGTAAATAAAAGAGTTTTAAAATGAATCCTCAAATGAACGGGCAGCCAGTGGAGTGAAGATAAAATGGGGGAAATACAGTGTGTATCAATATTAAATTAGGGCTCTGTATTAGCAAGAATCTGGTGGTACTATTTAAAAAAATAAGTAGTTTAATATATCACAGACCCCATAACATCATTGCAATGTCAGCCACATATATTTGCAGGTAAATTATGAATACAAAAGTCAACACAGTATCCCAAAACATAATATCCCCACATTGTGTGTATTGATTTATTTGTTTCTCACTTATATTCAATATTGGGCATGTGGGGGAGGGGAATGAAGGTTGACACACTTTAGAAATTGTTGTAAATGCCCACTATTATTGAAGACTTGTATATTGGCCTAATTGCAGATCCAATGGGGGAGGGAGCTTAACACACACACACATGCATATAATGAGGTTACAGAAAGAGGGTCTCTACAGCTGTCCCTATATGACATCATCACCAGGAATCCCTCCACCAGCTGACTTCACCATAACCAGGAAGTATGCGTGACATGTGTGAATCATGTGCTATAGTTGAGCTCATAATGACTATTTATCACACACATTTATTTCGCTCTCACTCATAACAGCAATTCAAACCTAAGCCCTGCTTTCCTCCGCTGCCTGTCAGACATTTTTCTCGTGTGGTATGACAACCTTTGAAAGTGGAGCTGCTGCAGATCAGCTGGGCTCTGACGCAGTTTTTAAATAGTCATTAGTGGTCTTATTTTATCTGCTCATGGACAGCTTTTCTTTTGGCACTCTTTTCTTGCGCAGCCAGCTTTACATTTGTGGGAGTTGCTGTATAGATTAGTGTTGAATGAGCTGCGGTCGTCCTCACATCGCTGGACTACACACGCAAACCACTGCTGTCCAATCCGCTCTCACTCCCTGCTTTTTACACAGCTGTGGAACTCAGTTTTTTCTCAATACCTTACTTTTTCTGTCAGTTTCCTTACATGTAACTTTTGAGCACAGCAGTACAACTTCTTTGATTTGTAATTCTGTCTGTCCCTTTTTCAGTTTTTTTTTCAGAGTCATTGCTCATCAGTCTTTCTTTGCACACCCCACATATCTTGCGGTTTCAGTTTCAATTTGTTTACATGTGCTTATGGTCTGTATGCTGAAAGTTAATGGAGATAATCTCATGTCTGTTGAATATGAAGCTGCAGTCAGAAGACTAACAAGCCTGGATCTGTGTGAAAAACTTATAATACATTAAAACACATTTAAGTTTGACCAGGAATTTAGCGCTGGGCAGTTACTCCCTTATCAACAAGATCAAACGGATGTATTATTGGGATTTAGAAGGATTTTAGAAATGTTTCATAGAGCTTGACAAGCTGTTGTCACTCTTTTATGCGTAGCTAAGATAACTAGCTGCTGGCTGTGGCTCAATATTTAGCATGCATCACTGATAACAAATCTCTGCAAGGAAGCAAACAAATGTCAAACGACCCCTCTAATGGATTGAAATCCTGCCTCTCCCTCTGTCTGGTCTGGGTTTCATGACCCGTGAATGAGTGTCCCCCTGACACCTCCACCTCCAGCTGTCTGAGGCATGTGTTGTTGCAGTGAATAAAACCAGGGGTCAGGAAGTGACAACACTGGAGGAATGCTAGTATAACACTCGGCCTCCAGGGAGAGAGCGATAAAGGAGGGATTTAAATACTTGGAAGAAAGAGGAGGGCAGGTAGGTTTCGATGAATCCGAGCAGAGGACCTAACTGAAGGAGGTAAATGAAAAAGGAGACAGCGGAGGAATGTGGGTATTAAAACTCCACCGGATTACGAGTGGTTTTGGGCAAAAATGGTTAGAGAGAACAAATTGTAGTAACCTTTTCTCTAACAAAAGGAGGAGTCCCCTACAGAGAATAAGAGAAAAGTAGAGATGTAGATAATTGGATTTGGGTACAATTCTCTAGAGCGATACGGGAGAAGGAAAGAAAACCCATCACCATAAGAGATATGAAAAGGGGAGGAAACGAACTGTATGTGGTTGTGATATTTATCTTAAAGCATGATAATACAAACAGATAGTGGTAGGGAAACAGGAAACCAGTCATAGACAAACTCTCCAGATTTCCTTCTATTTTCTGCCTTTTAATCCACATTCCTGCAGGCTTATGTAAGCAGTAAAGTGTGTCAGTATTGCTCACAAATGTGTGTTTGAGTAGCTGCTAGCGTGTCAATGCTAATACACGGTTTTAGACCAATTTAGCCTAGTGGTGTGTACTCGGCGTCACTCCTTGAGTGTAGCTTTTATTATATCAGCTCAGCTTCAGTTACTGCACTAAGGAAGGGGGTTACGATTGCTGCTGACACACACACACACACACACACACACACACACACACACCGTGTTGGTTTTGAGCATCTGCGTCATCTGGTGCTTGTAATTGCTATGAGCTTTGTTACAGCGCTCTAATTTCCCCCCACTATTACACCTAACCAGCGTTTCTCTAACGGTTTACAGCTCACAATTACTACTTTAACAGTCTCTGCCGTCTTAATCACTCATTTTAATTGAGTTCCTATTTTTAAAGAAAAACGTTCCTTCAATCGGCAGGCAGTGTGTATAAAAATGGTTCCTATTGTCTTGATATACTGCTCTTAAAGGTAGGTTAGGTAAGAATGTAGAAAGTAAACCAGCTCGAGTGCGCTAGAATTTGAAAGTACGCAGCCGAAAAATATCTGCCCCTTCCTTCAGACTTCCTTCCAGAGCCCCGCCTCCAACACACACGAACGCGCACATGACCAATGAGGTCACGAGATAAATTTGTGTACAAGATGGAAGGCTGACAGGCAGGTAGGCCATCTAGTTATCTAACCCGGGCTTCCTCACAGAGCCCCGCCTCCAACACACACGAACGCGCACATGACCAATGAGGTCACGAGATACATTTGTGTACAAGATGGAAGGCTGACAGGCAGGTAGGCCATCTAGTTATCTAACCCGGGCTTCCTCACAGAGCCCCGCCTCCAACACACACGAACGCGCACATGACCAATGAGGTCACGAGATACATTTGTGTACGAGATGGAAGGCTGACAGGCAGGTAGGCCATCTAGTTATCTAACCCGGGCCGGCTCATATGATTGGTCGTGCTTTTTACAGCGCCACGGCTTCCACAGATGACATTTTTAATATATATTTATTGTCAAAGTATTTAATATATTCATTGCTATCGGGATGTTAAGAGCATTCCATGGAATATAACAAAGTGTTTCTGAAGTGAATTACCTACCCTACCTTTAAGTGGCTCTAAATGATCCCCTTATTTAGACTGGAATTAAGTCTCTGCTATGTTGCACATGCTAGCAGATTTGGGATCTGGTGAGACCTTAGATTGGTGGGTAGCTCCACTCGCTTTTTGATAATTGTATTGCCTATTTTATCTTCTTGCAGTCATGTATATATCATGTACACATGCTGTATGTGTGCTAATGAGTTTTAACCTCTGACTTCAATTGAATCTCTTGTTTTTCTCGTGTTATTTGTGAAATTGTTAAAGCATTTTGAGCTGCATCGCATGTATAAAAATGTCTCTCCAAATAAAGCTTTAATCTTTTTTTATTCTTTAAAAACATTTATTATCTTTTATATATATGTTTTAATACTTTATTTTGAATTTTTCTTTTAGTAACTATAAAGCAAAGACAAACGAAATATATAGTAAGTACAGTAGGTACCTGAAACCTTTACATGGCGTACAAGAAAGACAAAGAAAAAAAGCTGGGTATTATAAACAAAAGGGCCAAGGGTAACCCACTATCTTCTATATTATTATTTTTGATTTGATATATGTATTATTATGATCATTTCCACTAGTCTGTCCATTGTTCCAATATTTGATTTCCTTGACGGGCCCCTCTCAGTTACGGTTCCCCTGGCGTTGAGTTCACGGGACTCCACAGTGATACCACAGCTGTCACACAGATCCAGTTCCTGCCCGGACAGGTGAGCTCTCATTACCTGCTTTGTGATCAGAGTAGTGGCCTAAAGTTGTATGAATTTAACATTTACCGTGCCATGTGACAGGGCCGCCTGCTGTCACTGCTGGACGACAACACGATCCACCTGTGGGAGCTGGTGGGCGGTGCCCCGAGAGAAGTGGGCGGGGTTAAGAAAGAAGGCGTGATCATTCTCCAGGAAGTAGACAGCTACAGCCTCCCAGGAAGACCAGGCATCGAGAGCTGCAGGTAGATCACGTTATTTTTACCACTGTTTTTTTTTTGTAATTGACTTTTTATTAGCATTTAGTGTCAAACATTGTAACAGCATATTGTACATTGCATCTTTACATGAATGACATAAATCTGTTCATAGTTCTTTTCAGCAATGAAACATGATGAGAAAGACATACATATAATAAAACAACAGTGAACAATTAGGGAGTAGTCATTTCTTTACAGCAGAGTTATGAATCTGTCAAAACTAAATCAGGCCTATAGGGTATTACCTAGTGAGTCCACTTCCAGAGGGAGTTTAACAATGTTTTAATTTTTTATTTTACTTCTGCACTTCTTGAAGAAATCTACTTGCAATGTTGATCAAATTTACCGATCTTCTCTCTTTATGAAGTTTTCCGTTTCATTTGTTTTGTGTCTTCTGTTAGGCACCCTTGAATTTGTGTGTGAAATCTGCTAAACTAACCTTAACATTGTTAGAGGAACATTACACCTTCATTTATATATGCTGCATTGTTGGAGGAGCTCAGGTCAGAAGAATCTCATTGCCATTTCTACACTGTAGCTTTGAGCACATGACGATAAAACCTTTGCGTCTTTGAATCAGATTGCACTTAAAACAATGTGGGTTATTTCATCATTGAATATATTCTTTAATAATTGGGTGGCTTAAATCTATCGTGACTGGAGCCTCCCTCTTCTCATCCCTCCTCCTCCTCCTCTTCTTCTCCTCAGTGCCACCCGTGTGACTGTCCTCCTCTTGCTGAGGTCATGTGACCTGCTGTGCATCGGCACTGAGGGAGGGGGCATCTACTTCCTGGAGTTGCCTTGCCTGTCACTGAAGGACAACCTCACGCTGCCACAGGACCAGGTCACCCAGAGGTGAGACTGTCCCGTAAATGACTTCAAAGAAAACTGACGGAAAATAAATAAATAAGATCAAATATGGAGCCTAGTAAAGATGGACCCTAGCAAGGCAAGGCAAGTTTATTTATTTAACACTTTTCAACACAAGTGCTTTACAAAGACGTTAAGAGCATAAAACATATTAGAAACATTAAAAAGCAAAGATAATAAAACATGAATAACACAGGTTCGTGAATAAAAGTTAGAGCAGTGTAAGATTCAATTAAAAGCAGCGGAAAGTCTTCAGCCTGGATTTAAAAGCAGTCAGAGTTGCAGCGGACCTGCAGGTTTCTGGTATTGTTCCAAATATTTGATAACACCCCTAACCAAATTCTCACATTCCTCTACCCCTAGTCTTCCCGTGAAACTATAGTTCTAGCACATGTTAAAGTCTAATGCAGTTGTGTTTGGAGTGGCAGGTGCATATGTTTGTAAAGTTGATCATTGCATATGTTATAATATTCCAGCTCTTCTTAACATTGCATCTACACATTTAACAAGTGTTTAATGTAGTTTCTCCCTTTCTCTGCCTATAAGTCTCTTCTTGACTAATTCCCTCCTCTCTGTCCCTGTCACAGTATGTCTTCCTGTAAACATTTAGCACTCCAGTTTCCTCCGCTCACAGCTCCAGCTGAGCAGGTCGGACACACACACAGAAATAAATATCCCCCTTGACCCCAGCAGCAGCAGGCAGGTCGGGGTCATGTGGTTCATGGTCCATGAGAACGGCTTTATGTCCTCAACGCTGCTCAGAGAGGAGAGGAAAGGGAGCACACACAGAAAAACTCCAAAGTCAGAATCAGGGTTATAGCTAAGTAGTAGTTTACACGTACAAGGAATTTGCCATGTTGTATAACGATGCATACATTAACAAAGTAAGAGGAATTAGTTTTGTAAAAAATGAGCAAATTTAGAACTTTTATTATAGAAATATTTTAAAAACGTTTTCAAAATTAAAAGAAAATGTTTACAAGAATACGGATACAAGCGGCCGAGATGGGTTTTCTCCGCAGGGTGGCTGGTGTCTCCCTTAGGGATAAGGTGAGAAGTTCGGTCATCAGGGAGGGACTCGGAGTTCAACCGCTCCTCCTTCGCGTCGAAAGGAGCCAGTTGAGGTGGTTCGGGCACCTAGTTAGGATGCCACCTGGGCGCCTCTCTAGGGAGGTGTTCCAGGCACGTCCAGCTGGGAAGAGACCAAGGGGTAGACCTAGGACCAGGTGGAGGGATTATATCTCTTCGCTGGCCTGGGAGCGCCTTGGGATCCCCCAGTCAGAGCTGGTTGATGTCGCCAGGGAAAAGAAAGTTTGGGGCTCTCTGCTGGAACTGCTACCCCCGCGACCCGACCACGGATAAGCGGGAGAAGATGGATGGATGGATGGTTTACAAGAATTATAAATACACAAAAGAAATCCAGAAATCCAACAAGAATATGCATGTTATTTGTTTAATAATAAGAATATTATTTATTTAAGACTGTGTGAAAAAATGATTGTGGCGTTGCAGAATCCCGGCCTAAACATTGGTATTTCCACAGACATAAGAACAAATATGTGTTTCTGTTATTTTGTCCAGCCCCTCCACATTCTGCAGTGTTGTGTGAACTAGTGTGCAGCCATGTATGAGAGTCAGCAGTGAAGCAGAGCAAGCCACTTCCGATGCGTCCTTATCACGTTAATATGCACAGAACTGCATTATCTAAAACAATCCGTATGCAACAAACATGCCCGCTGCAGTGCTTGTTTTATAAATGATAAATAGACGCCATTTATATAGCAATTTTCTAGTCTTTACTACTCCTCAAAACCCTTTTTACACATCAGTAAAGTACATAAGCTGCCACACGAAGTGCAAAATGCTCAAGGTACACAACGAAAACAAAGTGGTTTATTCGTTCTTCCTCTCTGCATTCCTGTGTAGCTTCACAGAGCTGCTGTCTCTCTCTTTCTGCTGACTGACCGGCCAAACCCCTCATTAACGTGTGTGTGTGTGTGTGTGTGTGTGTGTGTGTGTGTGTGTGTGTGTGTGTGTGTGTGTGTGTGTGTGTGTGTGTGTGTGTGTGTGTGTGTGTGTGTTGTGTGTGTGTGTGTGTGTGTGTGTGTGTGTGTGTGTGTGTGTGTGTGTGGTGTGTGTGTGTGTTGTGTGTGTGTGTGTGTGTGGTGTGTGTGTGTGTGTGTGTGTGTGTGTGTGTGGTGTGTGTGTGTGTGTGTGTGTGTGTGTGTGTGTGTGTGTGTGTGTGTGTGTGTGTGTGTGTGTGTGTGGTGTGTGTGTGTGTGTGTGTGTGTGTGTGTGTGTGTGTGTGTGTGTGTGTGGGGGGGGGAGGTTTTTAGACACGGGTGCTTTGTAACTGCTGCCAAAACACGGTGTTCCGGTTGGGAAGTGTTTCAGCTGAATCTCTAACGTACACACACACACACACACACACACACATCAGTAGCAGGATGCTGGATTCCCTAAAAATACTCGTGGACGGAGAGACGGAGACAATGGAATGCTTTGTTGGGAATGTTTCTGCCTCTGTGCTTCCGGAGAGGATCTTCCTCAGCGAGCGCTACCACAAAGCAGTCAGAAGTGTGTGGGTGGGTGTGTGTGTGTGTGGGTGTGTGTGTTTCATGCAAGCTGACCATCTCTTCTGCAATGGTTCTGCTGCAGAGAGAAAGCTGCATTTCCGTCTTTTCTTTCGCACTTTGTCTGTTTGTTTACTCTTTGACTTTCCCTCTTCTCCTCTCCTCTCTTCTCCCTCTCCTCTCCTCTCTCTCTCCTCTCCTCTCTTCTCCCTCTCCTCTCCTCTCTTCTCCCTCTCTTCTCCTCTCTCTCCCTCTCTTCTTCCTCCCTCTCCTCTCCTCTCCTCTCCTTCCTCCTCTCCTCTCTTCTCCTCTCCTCTCTTCTCCCTCTCCTCTCCTCTCCTCTCTTCTCTCTCTCCTCTCTTCTCCCTCTTCTCTCTTCTCCCCATCCTGCACCGGGGGAATCCTCCTGACATCTCGAGGGTGTGTCCTGCTCTACATTCCTCCGCTGCCTCAGAGGAATGTCTAGTTCACAAACTTCCAGCAGCTTGATGTTGATTTCACTGTTTTGTTGTTGTTGCCGAGACAGCTGCCTGTGGTGGAGTTTATACAGATGGTTTGAGTTTGATGTTGATTAGATTCAACATACATCTGAACACTTCAGGAGTTCTGCTTTGGGTTGTTTTTGTGCAAATGAAAAACAGTGCTTTGAAATATATGATGCTGTCCATTCCCTGTGTTCTACTTACCAACCGGATGATCAATATGCACAGATCTGATCTCCACTCCTCTCATGATGTATCCATTTTACAGTCCCAAACATTAAAGGGAAAAGGCAAATTACCTTCATTGAAACTTACTTTAATAGAGTATGTCAAAAAAATCTCTTTGTCAAATGTGTTCACATGATGAAAGGTTGATGTTGAGTGAATTCAGTGATGGTTTTTGGTAGGTAGGTAGGTAGGTAGGTAGGTAGGTAGGTAGGTAGGTAGGTAGGTAGGTAGGTAGGTAGGTAGGTAGGTAGGTAGGTCGGTAGGTCGGTAGGTAGGTAGGTAGGTAGGTAGGTAGGTAGGTAGGTAGTTACTTTATTGATCACAATTTGGGACATTTTTTAAATACAAATGCTCTAAGATTTGTGTTGGAGCAAACTTTTTCATATTTTAGCCTTTGCAGACCGTTTACTTGCACAAAGACCTATATAACACACTACAGGAAAGGGAGAAAAAGGATTATAGGACCTCTTTAAGACATATAGAAATAAGGAAGTATAATGGTGCATTAAAACAAACCTGTAGACATGTTTAATCAACAACATATGCAATGATGGTTTTGTTTTCCCAGCCTGCCAGATGATTACAGATGTGGAAAGTCCTTGGGGCCGGTGGAGTCTCTTCAGGAACATCCCCAACAGCCAGGGAAGATTCTGATTGGCTACAGCCGCGGCCTGGTGGTCCTCTGGGATCTGAGGACCCGGCACACCGAGCAGCTCTTCCTGGGCAAACAGGTACCTGCCTTACAGAACGGAGCCTCGTGCACACTGTGTTACTTTTTACAGACTCTGTTCCTTAACTTATCTTCAGAATGTTCCAATGAAGAACTTTAAGAATGTTTTTTATGTTGTGTTAAAGTTTACTGAAACATGCCAGGAATTAGTTGCAAAACATTAACAGTAATGAAAAAAGTCTTTAAATAGGTGTTCCAGCTGGAGCTGCAACAATACATGAACTAATCAATAGTTAATCGACAGGGAAGGAAAGTAATACATAACAGAAAATGCTGTTTTCAGTCTCAATTATGAAGTTTTTCTGCTTTTCCTAGTTTTATATCATATTTAAGTGAATATGATGAGTTGCACTTTCAAAAACAGACATTAAAAGACACCACATACATGTAAGGCTTTCAGTGACTGGGATCGACATTTAAGACTATTTTCTTACATTTTAGAGTCCAAACAATCAATCAATTAATCTAGAAATAATCATTGGATTCATTGATAAAGAAAACAATCGCTAGTCCCAGCCGCACTTGTCAGTTAGCTAGTTATATGCTTTTATGGCAAGGAATATTTGAGCTGCTCTCTGAGGCACTTGACTCTTTGACGTTACTATCTATAACGTGTATTTGACTGCCAAGCAACCTTTTGAAAGCATTTCTCTCTGTGTGTGACCCTGCAGCAGCTGGAGAGTCTGGTGTGGGAACGCTCTGGAAACCTATTTGTCAGTTCCCATAACGATGGCGGCTACTCCGTGTGGCCTGTTACTAACGGCAACACCTGCCATCAGCAGCCAGTGTCCTCCACCGTCCCATATGGTGAGAAATGCATACATCACACACACACCTAAACACACACAACATATTCTTACTATAGCTAGTGTCTCTTGTTTGAACACTTTGTCTTTCAGTGGAGGTCATGTTCTCGTCCACAAAGCCTCCAATAACTGCCGATGAGTGCTGACACATCGTGACTCGTAGTGACTCGTTTCTATTTCAGAATTAGAGTCAGGGTTAGGTCAGGTTCATTGGGGAAGTGACACTTTTCAAATCTTATAATATCTCTCTTTCGCCCTCTCTCTGACCTAAAGGCTTTCTGGATGGAAATCAAATTCGTATTGCCTTTTACTTTGGTAAATGACAGGACGTTTCTTACTTCCTTGCTATATATTTATAACATCAGTTACATTGGCAACAAACTAAAATACTAAATAAAATAAATCAACAGGCGACGCACTAATAAAGGCATAACGAGGAAGAATATCCATACAACATAAGATAACATTAATAACTAGCAGGTGACACTTTCTTTTTCGTGTGTTTTTATTCATTTTAATCCAACAAATGTCTCTGTGATGTTTTGGTTACTTTATTGTGCATGATTTCTGTCACAGGTCCATTTCCCTGTAAGGCCATCAACAAGATCCTGTGGAGAACGACACAGACGGGGTGAGTGTGTGACCGCTGAAATCAGACTGAAATTATGAATCGCAGCGTCAGTAAAACTTTCCTGTTATGTATCATGTTTGTAAATCCTTTTATTTTATTTGTCTACTTTTAATGATTTTTCTGTTATTCATTATTGTTTTTCTTTTATATTACTACATAAACATATTTTCAAGTGGATTTTATGTCTCCTCAATCCAGTTTGTGTCTCCTGCACACAGAAGAATATTTGTTGTAGTTCACCTTGGGCAAGAAACAAAGATTCCTAGATTGCCTCATAATTAACTTCCTATATTTGTGAATCAAAACCAAAAATAAAAAGCCTTGTAAGGCAAATGTAGTTTGGTCATTTTCAAAATGTCAAGTGTACAATACTTTTTTTTGGGGATAATAAAGCCTTATTAAATCGTAACACTCTCTCAATGTTCTAATTTCCCTGAATTAAATAACATGTCTGTCTCGCTGCAGCTCTCCATTGTTGTTGTACAGCGGAGGGATGCCCAGAGCGAGCTATGGAGACCGCCACTGTCTGACCATCCAACGAGACAAAGAGCATGTCACTCTGGACTTCACATCGCGGGTCATCGACTTCTTCACTGTCCATAACGTAGAGCAAGAGAAAGGTCAGTGGCGGACCATCACTAATGCTCTGACTAATGATTTCCTTCCCCTTTTTCCGTCTTTCAGCTGAGTTATGTCTCACCGCCATGTATCAAACGTCCAAAACAGGGGTGTCCAAACTTTTTTCACTGATGGCCACATGCAGAAAAATATACGAAGGGCTGGGCCACTCACTAGAGGTATATCGCCTCATAAGTTCAGTTATAAGTTAGCAAAATCAATCAAATGTAGGTAACTTGTGCTCGTGAGTGTTGGCAGCTCATCCCTTAAAACAGAAGCCTCAGGTTGATTATAATAAGGAGAAATAAAAAAGGTTTATTTCAAGTTTGTTATGTAAACAGGTCATTGGGCTTTTTTCTTATCAACCAAGATATGTTAGAAAATGTTTCCAGCTTTAATTGAAATCAGCCCTGGACTCTGACCCAGCCCAGCCCACACAAATCACAAATTGGTAGAGCACGCTCATGAACTGTCAACGGTGGGTCCGCGGGCCGCGTTTGGCCCCCGGGCCGTAGTTTGGACACCCCTGGTCTAAAATAATCAAAATGTTACAGGAGCATCAGCCCTTCATGTTGTGTCTCGTCTCTCCTCCTCACAGAGTTTGATGACCCGTCAGCAGTGGTGGTGTTACTGGAGGAGGAGCTGGTTGTGATTGACCTCCTGACCCCCGGCTGGCCCTCCCTGCCGACCCCCTACCTGGCTCCTCTCCACTCCTCCGCCATCACCTGCTCCTTCCACGTCTCCAGCGTCTCGCCTAAACTCTGGGAGAGGCTGGTCAACGCCGGCAAAGCTCAGCAGGGCCGGCAACAAGCGCATGGGGTGAGAAGCAGTACTTTTAGTCATATGTTGTATTATTTGTATCCTTGTCTGTACTCTTATCTGTCCTATACTAAGATAAGTACTTTATTGATCCCAATTTGGGAAATGTTTGCGTTGCAGCAGCATAAAAGACAAGGCAATGCACATAAGAGAAATTAAGACACTAGAAATAAACAATCCAAAATATTTCTGAAATAGAAATTAAATAGCATTAAAAAGTAAAAAAATATACATGTGGAAAATATACATGTGGAAATACAAATTCACAGTAACAACAAATAATGCAGGATATTATATATATACATTAATTGTGCAAGAAATTGATTATTCAATATTAAATGTAAAATTTCCTTTGGGTTCAATAAAGCTTTATCTTTTCTTAACTTAACATTAAAGTTAAGAATAGTAAATAAAGCTGATTTTCTTAGATACATGGTCAGGAATCTCCCCTATTGCAGAGAGAAAAAGTCATTTACTATTATTTGCATTGATTTGTGTCATTTAAACAATTCTCTTCATTTTATTATGGTCTTTTCTCATTATTTAAAAGGAAAGCATTGCACAGATTGCCTTCAGGACCTAAATCTTTTCCCCATCTATTTGAATAAATTCATTCTCGGAGAAACTGCCAGCAACATGTTGAATAACCTGTGGACTGGCAGGTGGACACTATGACTGATTATTCTTTAAATTGGCTTGTTCGTAGCCGTAGGGATTATTCAATTACCAAGATGCATGTAAGCCACTTTATCCAGGAACACCTTAACAGTATGGCCAATAGCCAAGCTGCTCTTGCTTTAAAAGTAGCCATCGACACTAATTGGTGTTTATACTACGTAAACACAAAGCAGCATGATCACAGATTCAGTTTAAGGGTTGGATTTCTACCAGATGAGTGTCAGGTGTCTTGTCAAGGCTCTACGGCTGCCATGAATGGAGAGAAATATAAACAGGTCATCATTTTAGAGGTTTAATGTTAGGATATTAAAGGTAAATGGATGGTATTTGCTAGGGTAGACTGGCAGCTAAACGGCTCTGGGCGTGACCTCCGGCCTGCTGCTAGTGTGTTAACTTTAAGAGCAGGTGTAAGCAGTTAAAGGCTTTGCAGAGGCTTTGTAGCTTAGATCAGCTGTTTTATCAGTGGCAGATTAAACTCACACACACACACACACACAGCTGGTACGCTCGTAAATCATTCCTGGCTCTCTGTCTGTGCGAGGCCAAACCAGAGAGACTGGCACAGTAACAGAGCAAACCCAAAACCCACAGGAGCTGAGTTTGCTGTGTTTCTGTCTGCACACTTTCATCCAGATGGGAATTCCTCTCCGTCAGGGCCAGATTATTTTTGATCTGGAGTTGTGATAAAATGGAAATGGTTAGAGAAAATGTTGTTTTTCAATGTTTTGTTTTTTTCTTGTACATCTTTTTAGTATTTACTTTAATCTTCGTCTGTTTGTGCAGCGTTGGCCCATTTGTGGAGGGAAGAACCTGGCTCCTCCACCCAAACAGCAAGAGCTGCTATTGACAGGGTACACACACACACACACACACACACACACACACACACACACACACACACACACACACACACTCTGTATAAACAGTCACCGGCTGCTTCTGCAGGTGGATCCAGTTTTAATTGTTCTCTCATGACACAAATCTATTGCTTTCTATAAGTGTTAGTGACTGAAAGCAGCGTGGTTGGATTTCTGATGTGAACCACATGGAGACCCTCTATTAAATAGGGTGTACATATGACTTGTCCTGACAGTGAAATGTGTTAGCATTGCATTAGCAACAAGGGAATCCTGAGGCAGATGACCTAATGTCAACTCCTGACCTAGCATTAGCATGGGGCACAATGAGACACAGCTACAGCATGAAAATGAAGTAAAACAGCTGGAGCGAGACCACAGTTAGGGAAATATCTTAACTATTTACTATTGACTGGATTAACAAGATATTATGTTCCTCAGAGGGTGAATGATTTTATCTTTTGGACTTCAAGCGCCAATATCAGCTAAAAATGAGTTAGCTGATTAGTGTGTTAGCATGCTTATATTAGGTCATTATCGCTAAACAGGAAGCAAATATAAGCATGCTAGCAGGCTTAACTAAGCAAGTGAACATGGTCAACATACTTGCTTAACATTACAATTTTAGCATTGTCACATGTTAGCATGCTGATGTTAGCCTTTAGCTCAAAGCTCCACGGTGCCAGAGTGCAGCTTCACAGAGATGCTAGCATAGCTTTAGCCCCTGTATCACGAATCAATTTGTATTTCATTAGATGTGGCTATGCTTACCAAATAAACTGCTAACTGTGTTTTTAGGGGCAATCCAAATAAATCAGAATTGAGGAGCTATTTGGATCTGAGCCTACACGCACACTCACACACACATAGACCTGCACGATCCTGATTGATTTGCACTGAAATACATTTCATCTTGATTGCATTTGTTGTAGTTATACATTTTGTGTTTTATAGGCACGAGGACGGCACTGTGCGTTTCTGGGATGCGTCAGGTGTTGCTCTGACTCCGCTTTATAAACTCAGCACTGCCAACGTCTTCCACACCGACTGCGACCCATGTGACGAACCTCATGACCCCAGCGACGACCCCGACATGCAGCAGGAGGAGGAATGGCCTCCTTTTAGGAAGGTGAGGACGAGGAGGAGATGTGAAACAGAGGAAGAAAACAATCTGTTCATTACACACAGTCAGTCCTCTAACACTACATCTGTGTCCTCATTCTCTCATCTGAGTGTTTTCACGCGTTTGGTTCTCAGACAGGACCCACCCCATTGTTCCTCTTGTTAAAACCCTGAAGGAACCGCAGTCTGATTCTGTTTTAATCGCCTGGTTTTCTGCACAGAATTTCATTTAAATGAATTGATTCAACATCATGAGGAGTCCCATATGGAGAGAATCTGATCTGACAGCTTTGGTAGATGTGAAATGGAGATGAATCATGAAGTGCTGATATTTAAATCTTACAGTTGGACATTTTCTCTCAGGGCGGATTCCCAAGATACGCTCACATCTGTAGATGGCAGGGAATACAGTGAAGGGAATAAACTCCAATTGGGGCTTTTGTGGTGATAATATCCATGTTGTGCTTTTCACTAAGACGAGCTGTCATGGGAGGATTCTCATCGTTTATTATAAATGCAGTTTTTTAATGCTTTTTGGGGGTTTCCCTTTCCTGTAGTGTGTTTTTATTTCAGTTGGAATCAGGTTCAGGTTGAGGTTCTTTATTTGTACCCGTAGGTAGATTTAGTTTGCAGATAAAAAGACAAGGGATCCATCCTGACACACTTTAAACACAAACAACATCTCTAATAAAAGTACACCTTGCTTCGTCAAATCTCAAAATATTTAAAAACATTTAAAAAGAAAACCACTAGTACAAACATGGACATTCAAAATTCATAATTAAATGAATAAATAGGCATCTGTGTGACACTCCTATGAATTGTTAATTTGAGCAATAGCTGCTGGGATAAAACTGTTTTTATACCGCTTCGTTCTACTCTTTGGGAACACTAACCTCCGGCCCAAAGGAAGAAGCTTGAATTCTGAGTTCAGAGGGCGGGAGTCATCGTCATCGGACTGCTTTGTTTACTGTCATAACATAGTGACATCACTGTGTACTATTCAAGCTTCTATTGGCTAGTGCTCGAACACATTGTACGCTAATGGGTGGGACAATTCTAAGCGGTTGACCAATAGCCAAAACATAAAGAGATTTTTGAACATTAAAGCATGTCAAAAATGTCACATTGAAGACACAAAATAAAAATATGAACCTGGGAACTAGCATGATATGTCCTCTTTAAGAAATTGATAGCATAAAAAAGAAGTAGAAACAGATTTATAGGGGTACGTTCCACATTTACAAATAGATCTGAGTTACTATTTGGCCTCTTTTCTCTTCTTCTCTTCCCATTCACTGTTTGGCTCCCCCACCTTTCCTCATGTATCCTGTGGTAACAGAGTTGCATGTTCAGGAATGTGGCTCTCATATGGGATGAAGAGCCTTTCCCTTTTTGGTGTAATGAAAACCAGACGCATCAGCCCACTCGTTCTCTCTCTCTCTCTGTGTGTGTGTGTGTGTGTGTGTGTGTGTGTGTGTGTGTGTGTGTGTGTGTGTGTGTGTGTGTGTGTGTGTGTGTGTGTGTGTGTGTGTGTGTGTGTGTGTGTGTGTGTGTGTGTGTGTGTGTGTGTGTGTGTGGTGTGTGTGGTGTGTGTGTGTGTGTGTGTGTGTGTGTGTGTGTGTGTGTGTGTGTGTGTGTGTGTGTGTGTGTGTGTGTGTGTGTGTGGTGTGTGTGTGTGTGTGTGTTGTGTGTGTGTGTGTGTGGTGTGTGTGTGTGTGTGTGTGTGTGTGTGTGTGTGTGTGTGTGTGTGTGTGTGTGGTGTGTGTGTGGTGGTGTGTGTGTGTGTGTGTGTGTGTGTGTGTGTGTGTGTGTGTGTGTGTGTGTGTGTGTGTGTGTGTGTGTGTGTGTGTGTGTGTGTGTGTGTGTGTGTGTGTGTGTGGCAGGCATTACTATACTTGTGGGGACCTAAATCTGTTTACATAGTCACGTGTGGGGACTGGCTTCCCTTATGGGGACAAATTGGAGGTCCCCATGAGGGGAATCATTCATTGAAGGGTGAAGACTTGGTAAGGTTAAAGGTTAGGGTTAGGCATGTGTTGGTTATGGTTAAGGTTAGGATAAGTCTCCAGGAAATGCATGTAAGTCAATGTAATGTCCCCTGAAGTGATGTATACATGGTATGTTGTGTGTGTGTGTGTCCTCTCCTACTTTTGTGCGAGGGAATGCTATTGGAATTCCTCCAGTGTGTGAGAGACAGATTAATGCCCATGTTTTGCAGAGTATGTATGAGAAGCAGCGGGGGGGGATTGACATTTTGCAGAGCTTAGGAGTAAAGAGGCTCCTGAGGAGGAAGGAAGAGAGCTTTAGGAGGCATTTTAAACTGAGTTAGTTTGTTGGTTGGTTCAAATCAAATTATCAGGATGGGACAGATGGTTTTGGGAAGTTTTATTGAAAAGTGGAAGAACATGATGTGGAAGAAATTGATGATTGTTTGACTGATATTGCATTCGTGATGTGATTCACGATGTTGTAGGTATTGATCAGTTTGCATAATTTTTCTCATTATCATTGAAAAATGTATTGATTTGGTCAAGGAGTGATTTTTAAAGAGGATTTGTACCAAAAAAGGCTTTTATTGTCATTCATACATACAGTGGGGCAAAAAAGTATTTAGTCAGCCACCAATTGTGCACGTTCTCCCACTTAAAAAGATGAGAGGCCTGTAATTTCATCCTAGGTACACTTCAACTATGAGAGACAGAATGGGGGGAAAGAATCCAGGAAATCACATTGTAGGATTTTTAATGAATTAATTGGTAAATTCCTCGGTAAAATAAGTATTTGGTCACCTACAAACAAACAAGATTTCTGGCTCTCACAGACCTGTAACTTCTTCTTTAAGAGCCTCCTCTGTCCTCCACTTGTTAACTGTATTAATGGCACCTGTTTGAACTCGTTATCAGTATAAAAGACACCTGTCCACAACCTCAAACAGTCACACTCCAAACTCCACTATGGCCAAGACCAAAGAGCTGTCAAAGGACACCAGAAACTAAATTGTAGACCTGCACCAGGCTGGGAAGACTGCATCTGCAATAGGTAAGCAGCTTGGTGTGAAGAAATCAACTGTGAGAGCAATTATTAGAAAATGGAAGACATACAAGACCACTGATAATCTCCCTCGATCTGGGGCTCCACGCAAGATCTCACCCCGTGGGGTCAGAATGATCACAAGAACGGTGAGCAAAAATCCCAGAACCACAGGGGGGGACCTAGTCAATGACCTGCAGAGAGCTGGGACCAAAGTAACAAAGGCTACCATCAGTAACACACTACGCCGCCAGGGACTCAAATCCTGCAGTGCCAGACGTGTCCCCCTGCTTAAGCCAGTACATGTCCAGGCCCGTCTGAAGTTTGCTAGAGAGCATTTAGATGATCCAGAAGAGGATTGGGAGAATGTCATATGGTCAGATGAAACCAAAATAGAACTTTTGGTAAAGACTCAACTAGACGTGTTTGGAGGAGAAAGAATGCTGAGTTGCATCCAAAGAACACCTACTGTGAAACATGGGGGTGGGAACATCATGCTTTGGGGCTGTGTTTCTGCAAAGGGACCAGGACGACTGATCCGTGTAAAGGAAAGAATGAATGGGGCCATGTATCGTGAGATTTTGAGTGACAACCTCCTTCCATCAGCAAGGGCATTGAAGATGAAACGTGGCTGGGTCTTTCAGCATGACAATGATCCCAAACACACCGCCCGGGCAACGAAGGAGTAGCTTCGTAAGAAGCATTTCAAGGTCCTGGAGTGGCCTAGCCAGTCTCCAGATCTCAACCCCATTGAAAATCTTTGGAGGGAGTTGAAAGTCCGTGTTGCCCAGCGACAGCCCCAAAACATCACTGCTCTAGAGGAGATCTGCATGGAGGAATGGGCCAACATACCAGCAACAGTGTGTGAAAACCTTGTGAAGACTTACAGAAAACGTTTGACCTCTGTCATTGCCAACAAAGGGTATATAACAATATATTGAGATGAACTTTTGTTATTGACCAAATACTTATTTTCCACCACAATTTGCAAATAAATTCTTTCAAAATCAGACAATGTGATTTTCTGTATTTTTTTTTTTCTTCTCACTAAATACTTTTTTGCCCCACTGTAGCTACGGTGTAGTTATGTCGATGAAAATCTTAGGTCACAGGCTCCTCCAACAGTGCAACACAATAAAACATGTAAAATAGTGCAAGTAAATACAAATAAAATAGTGAAATGCAAGTAATAGTTTATTTATTAAGTCTGTAGTAAGCGATTTGTAGGTTGTAACTCCACAATACTTCCTCCAAAATGGTATTCACACAGCTTTGTAATATAAGATGGTGCTTCCTTTCATCATTGCACTAGTCCATGTTTTGATTTATTTTGCTAGGGTTGTGTGTCCTTTGCATTTATCTATCTAATCCAAGCCTGTGTGTGTTTGTGTGTGTAGGTGGGCTGTTTTGACCCGTACAGCGATGACCCCAGACTCGGCATCCAGAAGATCAGTCTCTGCAAATACAGCAACAAGCTGCTGGTGGCTGGAACTGCTGGACAGGTATACCGTCCACACGTTACACACACGCATCGTGTCATTTCTATATTTACTGTTGGTTTTAAATTCATTTGAAATGCCTTGTTAACTTGCTAATGTGAAGAAAAACAATCTTAACTCTCAGGCTCTGCACTGCCAGTTTTTTTTTATTTAGAAAAAGAGCTCTAAGGTTTTAAGAACTGTATTTTATAAGACCAAAACAGCGCCTTTTTAAAATTGAAAACATACCAAGGCCCTGCATTTCACATACCATATTTATATAGCTACATGTGATCTGTACTACACACACGTTGCCAGTTTTAATAAAAACCAAACACTTCATCTAATCTTCTGCTCTCTCTGCTTTCAAACTGTTAATGTGTTAATGAAATGATTAATGAGACCATTTGACTTTAAAGATCATACTTGATGAAGAACCTCTTTTTAAATAGCCTCACGTTGCATTTCCTCTGGATGAGATGCAGCTAGCTGATTAAGTTGGCAGCAGAGAGTTGCAGCTGCAGACACACACACACACACACACACACACACACACACACACACACACACACACACACACACACACTTAATCTCTGCTCTGCTGTGATGGCTGTAGCTGTGAGGCTAAGTGTTATTTTTAACATCTATAAACGGAGCTTGAATGTTTCTGCTGCTTACAATACATTTTCCAAACAAGTAAAGTTACATTTCTGCTAATATATTATAACTTAATCATTTGCTCATTATATTTCAATCAAAATCACCTCCTGATATTTTGATTTCTCTGTGTACAATGAATGATTCTGTGCCTGCTGCTTGCCACTCGTCCACCGCCAGACTGGGTGGACATCGAATTCCTATAGATTTTATTTTACCCTATATTGGCGCCGATCATCGATCTCCAATTACATTGTTCTTTGCCTTGTGGACCATTGTATTTGGGCCCCTTGTAAATGAACACATGCACAATATCCAATTTTTTTATCTTACTAGCAAAGAACTAAGTTGTATTTACCAAGGGGAGCCATTTCATGTACCCAGATGGGTTGCTGTCATGTACACAAATAGTTTCTCTATTTCCTCTAAACTTCTACACCATGATGTTTTTGCTCTCCTCTCTCCAGGTGATTGTTCTGGGTCTGAGTGACGAGCGCTCGGAGCACACGGTGGACGTGTCGGTGGTGGATCTGCTGCAGGACCGCGAGGGTTTCACCTGGAAGGGCCACGACCGGCTGGAGCCCCGTCTCAAACCCCCCCCCTTCCCCCCGGGCTTCCAGCCTCAAGTGCTGGTGCAGTGCATGCCCCCTGCCTCCGTCACCGCCGTGGCTCTGCACGCCGAGTGGAACCTCATCTCCTTCGGGACCAGTCACGGGTTCGGCCTGTTCGACTACCACAGGAGAAACGCTGTGCTGGCCAGGTAAGAGACTACACACACACACACACACGCACACACAGAGCTCTTTCCTTTTTTTACATTTTTAAAAATTTAAAATGTTGACAGTGTTCATGCAAGCAGAAAAACAACCTGCATATGTAGAAATATGTCTTGGTCCCGTCTGATGCCCACATTGTTATTTTTGGCAGCACCTGGACGATTTTTGACATCTTCCTGGATCCATCTTTTTTATACACCGTCCTATTATTATATTTGTCATTTGTATTGTTTATGTTGTAACTTTATTATCTTTTTTAATGTACACGCGGGATAGAAGTCTGTTCCATTGTTTTCCATGTAAATTGTGGGTTATTTGGGGAATTTTTCAATGTTTTGAGTACAGAGGGTGTCGTATGCTGTACACACTGCGCTTTCAGATATTTGGCTATATAAATAACATTTGATTAAATGGTTGAAAAGTACACTGAATCCACTAATGCGATCCAAAAGCATCACCCTATTGCTCTTTTCGTTCTCCTAGATGTACGCTGCACCCTAACGACTCCTTGGCGATGGAGGGCCCTCTTTCCAGAGTCAAGTCTTTGAAAAAGTCGCTACGACAGAGCTTCAGACGCATCCGCAAGAGCAGGGTGTCGGGGAAGAAGCGCCCCATCGCCACGCCCACCAGCAAGGTAAAAGACGGTCTCCGTTTGGTCGTAAGAGGTTCGTACGGGTCATACAGACTGAATTAAGCTCTGCATTGTGTTACTGTCTCATGTGCAGGTCCAGGAGGCCAACGCGGCGCTGGCAGAGCAGGAGGACGTGGCTCCGATCCAGAGGAGGATCGAGCCGCGCTCAGCAGACGACTCGTTGTCAGGAGTGGTCCGATGTCTCTGCTTTGCGGACACATTTCTCCGTGACGGTGTGTTTACTTACGGTTATTAACTGAATGTGGGACCCTAACAATAACAACGCTTTGAGTCTGTTTTTTTTTATAAATAGTTTTTATCCTCATTCCCTCACGTTTTAATTAAGAAAATCCAAAATGTTTTGCTGGTTGATGTCAAGTTTACAAGTATTAGGTCTGTCATAAGAACTACTTTCGTTAGACGATATGTTGTCCCAGAAATAAGTCGATAAACAATATAATTGTAATTTTAAGGCCATTTTATATAACGCCATAATATTGCAAGTACACCCTTTTTAAGGAGCAATACATTTCTTCAGAATATTGACACTGGGATCTAATGAATATTAAAATATATAAATGAATAAAGAGACACAACCAAAATAATAAATAAAGTGGCTCTGTTGGCAAAGATGATGTTAGAGAAAACCCTTCTGTGTACTAACTTCATTTTTGGCTTTTATGATGGTTTAATTCTTGTGTAAACACATTTTAAAACAGCCGACAATATCAACAAACATCTACGCTATGTCCTTACCGTATATCATATCAAAAGTGTATAACATAATTATCATGACACCACACTAACTGTATGACCTCATCTCTCAGGGACGCACCACGGCGCCACCCTGTGGGCAGGCACTAACTCGGGCAGCGTGTACGCCTACGCTCTGGAGGTGCCGGGCGTGGGCTCGGGGCGAGTGTGTGAGCGCGGCGGGGCGGGCGAGAGCAGTGTGTGTGTGGAGGCGGTGCTGGGGAAGGAGATCCAGCTGATGCACAGAGCGCCCGTGGTGTCCATCTCCGTGCTGGACGGCCGGGGGAAGCCGCTGCCCGACCCGTACGAAGCGTCTCAGGACCTCTCCATCGCGCCCGACATGAGCAACGCTCACTCTGTGCTCATCGCCTCCGAGGAGCAGCTCAAGGTAACGGCTGGAGAATGCAACAGTTGTATAATGTGTTACACATCAAATGTATCTCTGCCTGTTTTCTTTTATGGACTAATGGAACGATGTAGGAATGAGTCCTGAACCCTGAGAGTAGTTGTAGCACTTCCAGTTCCCTCGTTTAAAAGTATATGCTCCAAAATGACATAGTTTTTTTGTGTGAGAGCCATTAAGATGCAAACTTCCTTGTTGACCTACAAAAAAACGTTACAATTATTCACCACATCATTTAAAAATCCTTATAAAGTGCTGAGTCTGGGGGAGAAACCGTGAAAAATGATGTTAAGGTCTAAATTAAAACTTTCTAAATCTAAACTTTTTATTTGACGCTGCGATGGACAGTCTTGCACTAATGTACATTCTCAAAGATATTGAATTGACTGTTATTTTTGTATATATTGATTGTTGTGCTTTTATGTAGGTCTTAATGTTTGCATATAAATAAATAAATGTTTATATATATTTGTTTTTGTATTCGAGATTGTGGGAAACGGTATTTCGATCTCTGTCTGAACACACAAACTGAAAGATTGACAATAAAGTTGACTTTGACTACATTTCCTCTCTCTCTCTCTCTCTCTCTCTCTCTCTCTCTCTCTCTCTCTCTCTCTCTCTCTCTCTCTCTCTCTCTCTCTCTCTCTCTCTCTCACTCTCCAGGTGTTCTCTCTCCCTAAGGTGAGCGCTAAGACTAAGTTCAAGCTGACGGCTCATGAGGGCTGCCGGGTGAGGAAGGTGGCGCTGGTGGTGTTCGGCTCCACGGCTCAGGAGGACTACAGCGAGCACACTCTGGTGTGTCTGACCAACCTGGGAGACATGCACCTGTTCACCATCCCCGGTCTGCGACCTCAGGTAGGAACACACGCATTATTACAGTATTTAGGGGTTATTTGTATATATGAGACAACTATTCATTTGTTCATTTATTCGCTAAGCACCGGTAATTGATGCCTATTTTGTGGGTCTTTAGGTGCGCCACGACTGCATCCGTAAAGAAGACATCAGCGGCATTGCATCCTGTGTCTTTACCAAGAACGGACAGGGTGAGAAAAATATGCTTGATTTGAATTAAAAACATAACAAATTTCCTTTTCAGGCTCTGAACGTCGCAAGGAAATTGCATTGTGATAATAACGATTACCAAGCTGCGCAGAATATACACACAGCGAGAGATTTTAAGGGTCATTTCACACAGAGTATACCAAAAACCAATGTTCCACTCGCCCAATTTGTTTCCAGTCATGCGTATCGTTATTGTTTAATTTGCCGAGAATCTCTTGAGACCCCTGCCTCCATCCCAAAAATAAACTGTAACAAATCAGCCTTGATCTATATATTTTTTAATATGTTTTTATAATGGCTTTCCTCTACTCTATTTAAGTAAAGTACATTTTGAATGTCACCATTATTAGGCCAGTCATGCCAGTTTCCGACTGATGTTGGACACAATATTGTCCCTGAAATAATTGCGATAAACTGTTTAACTGTCATATTAAGACTAATGCTGTCAACATTTTCGCGTTAACGGTGGTAATTATGTTTTGAATTAATTGCGTTAAAATATTTAACGCATGTGCAGAATGGCTCGCCCCATACATCCCACCAGTGGCAGCGCCAGGGTATGGCTGGGGTAGGCTACACCCATACCAAGAAATGGCTTAGCCCCACCATGAAAAATGATGTTAAAGTAAGCAAAATAAAGCCCGCCAACTCGCACCGAGTAAATTGCACAGACAGCAGTTAGTAAGATTGATTTCAGCCACTTGTCTGGAAATACCGAAGACTAGAAACGGTTTTGAAAACTTTTGTCACGTAGTGATCGTCTTCTCAATAGAACATCTTTGATAATGTCTTCTGGCCAATCAGAATCAAGATAACGGCGTGGTGTTGTTGCAGGAAGTCCCGACGGAGAATACTTTTGCTGTAGTACATCTCTATACATCGATACAACATTACGTGTTGATAGAAATCAACACGTAATGAATTAAGACCCCACGGTTTGATGATTGATAGGTGTGTGGGCTGTCTTTCATTTTGACACACAGAACAATGTTATAATAAACATACATACTGTATGTTAAATGGATATATCCGCCTTCTTTAATTTATCTTTCCATTCCCACAACAATATACATAAAGAAATGGCATATTTTGGACATAGTTCGAATGGTGATTAATCATGATTAATTAATTTTTAAGCTGTGATTAATCTGATTAAAAATTGTAATCGTTTGACAGCCCTAATTAAGACCATTGTAGGTTATGATAATGCAAGTTCAGCACGGACATTTGTTTGTGCTTCTTAGGACGGAAAAACAACATCCAACTTTCCAGTAATAATGTCCCCCCAGTCTGACTGCACACTGCACTGAGGGCTGGTTTGCAGTGAAGGAGTCTAAATGTTGTTTTCCTCGCAGGGTTTTACCTGGTCTCCCCCTCAGAGTACGAGAGGTTCTCCCTGTCGGCTAAAGTCGTCACCGAAGCGCTCTGCTCTGTTCAGCTGGACCGACCGCTGGAGCACACACCTGCCAGGTAACACACACACACACGGAGTCAAACTAAACCGTGGTTGTGCGATACAGATAGAGTCCTCCATCAAAATATTGGACATTTGATCAATGTCCCTCTTTTTGGGGGATCTTGTACCTCTTCCCACTGCTTCACGGTGTCTTTGTTATGTAGACACCTTCAAAACATGAAGAACAAATAGACTGAAGACAGAGAGCTTGAAATGCTCCTCGTGCTGATGAAATAGATTTATTTTCTGGTGTCATATTAGCCAGTTTTTCTTGTAGAACAGCTGAGGTGTGGGGGTGTGTGTGGGAGAAGGTGAGCGAGTGTGTATCTGCAGTGTGTGTTATGTAATGTTGTTTTAGTTTCTATGTGTTATTGCATTTTGAATGTGTGTTTAATGAGAGGCTACATCTCAAGGATCTTTTCTTTGATTTAAAACAAAGTACAGTATACTATAATACCATTTTTATTTTAGGAAATAATACATTTAACATTTAATAAATTGTTGTTAGATGAGCTAATCTGCCAGCTATGCCTTTTTTTTTTTTCAACCCAGCAAATTAAATATCTGACAAACCACGCATTGATGCAAAAAAGATTGAAAAAAATAGACTTGGGGAATTCCAGAGACCCACTATTGAAGTCTCTTGGTGGTCCGAGACCCCACATTGTAAAGCTCTAAACCCACTGTTCCTGTCAGTCCCGCTCTCTGATTGGTTAGCAGCAGCAGCTCCTTCAGGCTCCACCTGACACCAGAGAATGATACTTCTACTGTTACTGTATTATTACTCCGTCTAATGCTGTGTGATCGTGTGTCTCCTCAGCGACGGCAGCACGACGCAGGCCAACGGGACCCACAAGAACCAGATGGGTCAGGCTGAGGGTACGTACACACACACACACACACACACACACACACACACACACACACACACACACACACACACTCTGTATTTTCTCCCTCTTCATCACTCTTTTCTTTCTTTCAAAACTGAAAGCGCCCCCCACCCCCCCACCCCACTGGTCTCCATGGCAATCATTCAGAATGCTCTCCTGCCCAGCGCCTCCCTCTCTGGCAGGAAATGATGGTTGTCGTGGAGACCAGACCAGAGTAGAGTTGTGTGTTAGTGGGTTTTCTACCATAACTATTACTACTAAAACCCCCAAAAATATGTACTGACGATGTGTTATAAATGCTCTGCTATAGGTGTGTTTTGGGCCACTAGGGGGCAGCACTAGTGGCACATCTTATCAACTTATAATCTTTTTGATCTTGTTAGTTAACACATCCCTATTTATTGAACAAACCTTTAGCATCCATTTAGTTTGTTTCTGTCCATGTGATGAATGTAAATCCAATATTCACTCAGACGATTGGCTTATGCTAATTATGTGGATTTTTTGTGTGCTTCTTTTGCTGAAAACTGCTACCCACTGTCACTCAAAATAACACTGAGAGCATTGGGAGTGAAACCAAAACCAGGAGCTGAAAGAAGCTACAATCGTGTGTAGAGCCGAGGCAAACGGAACAAGCCTTGTTGGGTTGAGGAAAACTGCAGCATTGCGATATCAACTTTGTTGGTTCATCAATAAGAGTTCATTTGAGTTCATTTGAGTTCATTTTCAAGCCGCCATTTGTTTCATCGTTAATATAAAAGAATGAGTAATAGCAGCTTTAAGATGTTAAAGATGAATTTTGAAAGGCAGGCTTGGCATTTAAGAAAATGGGGACTTGTGCAACCCTTGAAATAAGATAAGAACACTTAAGAAAATCACTTTTATGTTAAACCATATTTGGGCTTACAACAACAGATGAAATAAACAAAGATACAGATTTGATCCATCTTTATTTGTTCTCAGTGTTGAACTCCATTCATGCTCGTTGGGGTATCAACTTTATGACGGATCATTCCTGAATCTACTGTCAAACCAAATTGTGATGAAGTTGTTTACAATGTGTTTGCCCAAATATTTTAAACTCTACCCGACATGACCGAGGAAACCTTTTGAAGCCAATAAGAGTCGTCCATCTGTAGCAGATTAAGACTCCATTTACACGGGAGTGCAAACGGACCGAATTCCTCATCAAAAAAGTATTCGGCTCATTTAACGCGTTCGTTCACACGAGACCACTGGAGACGCTGTAGTACATATGCCGGGCCTGTAAGTGGCGCTGTACTTCTGCCACAAAATACACCAAAAGCAGCGAAGAAGACCCCCGAGCATGGTTGCCCTTCTGTTTATGCCCGGCGGTAGATTTAGCAACATGTAGTTCATGTAGTTCTCCATGTCCACTTGTTGCTGATGGTTGTGGTAGAGGAGCTGTAGATGTTGCACTAACATCTTTAGCATGGTCAGTAGCTACTGGCAGTAGCTACTGACCATGCTACAGCAGTGAGCAGCAGAGGCGGGGCTATGGCTTCATTGTTATCAGAAAATGATCGTATAGACGTACACACGGAGCCGTTTGACCCCCCAGAGCGTTCCGTATGCAGATCTATCCACCTTGGGACCCGTTATCGTTTGCGGGGTCCGTTTCCGCGGTTCCGTTACGGCCTCGTGTGAACGAACGGGCTATACGCGAGAGAAAAGTAGCGGATACAACCCGTTTCGTTCTCGTGTAAACACGGCCTAAGCGATGTGGTTCAGCCGTAGACTTTTTTGAAGGCTTTTTTAAATTGTTCTCTCCCTCACAGGACAAACAGAAGAGCCTCCGATCGCCCTGTCCTCCCCCCTCATGGACCCCCCCCTGTCCTCCCCCCTGATGGACACCCCTCTGGACTCCCCCCTCAGCTGTGCCGACCTCACCCTCGACTCCACCGGAGAAATCACCGTGGAGGACGTCAGGGACTTCCTCACGTAGGCACTCACACTTACACACACATCTCGCTCTGATTTTAAAAAGACGGTAATCTTTTTTTTTTAGGCGTCTTTTTATTTCATAGTAGTGTTCAATAACAGGCACACTTTGATGTACATTTTAGTGTCACGGTACACTCGCTATATTCCCCTCTACCTACATGCCCATATAGCCCACACTCACCTGTTCACCTTTGACCCCTAACCCATCACAGTCCCCCTGCTTCCACTCCTACTGCTATTTCATTCATTGTTTACTTTATTATTTGCCCCTTTTGTTTGTAAAATGTTTAGTAACAATTAAGATAATTTAAACAACAAAAAGCAATTTACGACGAGCAAACCCGAAAATAAACCAAATGTAAAAGAAAAAAGAAACGTATCGAAGAAAAGCTGAAAAAGTATTATACAGTTTAGAGAATGACAGTATTATAATTGATATGGTATTTTTAACAGTCGCATAGAAATAAAATGAACCATTCCATTATTGGTCATATGTGGATATATATTTTGCAGGTGAGAAAATAATGGGAACCGCAGATCTTGAAAAATCTGTCCAGGATTATGGTTTTCCAATGTCGGGGATCTGATCTAGGAACTGAAATCGAACGTGTGTTTTGTGTCTGACAGCACTGTGGACGAGGCGGAGAACAACCTGAAGAACATCAAGGAGGAAGAGGGGCGCTCCACCGGCATCCTCATCAACTGAGCAGGTGAGGAACAGGAAGTATCTGATGAAGTACTGGAGTGTGAGCAGTAGGGGTGGGAATCACCAGGCTCCCCACGATACGATACTATCGCGATACAATAGTATTGCGATTCTACAATATGCTAAGTATTGTGCATACATATTGATATATGATTGCCTGATTGGGTTCCAGTGTTTTAACATGTGACAAAAGCCTGCGCTGTATGGACGCAGGTCTTTGCACATGAAGGTTGATTGAGTTATGTTCTTAGCTGGCTCAGAATGTGATGGTAGCTTTGCCAAGATGATCTGGATTTGCAAGATGAATAGTTTATATACTAAAATATCGATACTTGGCGTCCGTGTATCGATACAATATCGCCACGCAAAGCATTGCGATACTATGTATCGATTATTTCCCCCAACCCTAGTGAGCAGATGCATGAGCTCACACCCGCTTAGACACTACTCAGGGTGTATGAAAGGGGATCAACACACACACACACACACACACACACACACACACATACACTCAGACACCTGTTTCTAATGGAGCGCGTCCAGAGTGTGGCAACTTCAAAGAGTTGTTCAGTCGGAGCGTTGCATTCCAATTACCAGCGCTCCTCTCTGTTTCCCTCTCCTGAAAAGCACAAATAAACAACATTTAGTAACAGTGCATAACAACAAATACAAATATTATCCTCTGCTATTCGGGTGGGAGGTATGTCTAAGTTTATCCAAAAAAATCCACTTTACAGATACAAAAAGGAGCCGTCGTTGCATTTCCCTTGAAGCTCCGTGAAGATCCCAGTTTTTGTAAAGCTGTTAGCAGCAGACCTTCTTATACTGTACGTTTCCTTTTAAAGTAGTATTTTTCATTCTATGTAAAACACATTTGAGGGGGAAAAGTATGGCTGCTAAAGGCAAACTAAAGGAGATTGCAATGACAGCAGCTGGAGTGGTGTTATGATGAAAGTCAAGAATGTCTCCACCTTTTTAATGCAGTGCAATCTTCACTGGAGGTTGTGGTGGTTAGCGACTCAGCACTTACTGCTCTCATGCATCCAGTCTGCTCTCACAGGACTCATGAATCAGAGGTAATGGTTCCTGTCTGGTTGTCACACTCTACTTCCTGTATGAAACCCTCTGCTGCCCTCTGCTGGTGCCTTCTGGAAATATAGATATAACAACATTATGTAAAATGTACATATTTTTATAATCTATACATTTGTCAGTGTATGTGTTGTTGTGTAATGATGTTTAAATAAATGTCAGAAGATATTGAAAATTCTACACCAAACAAGCCAGAGCCTACAATTACTTATTTAATGATTTTGTCAGATTTCCAATACTCAAAAATGTTTAATTCCCAGTCATAAATAAATAGAATGTCTCTTAATTAGGGGGGGGGGGGGGGGGGTTAAATAAAACGAATGTGAATTGTTAGAAAAATATCACTCGTCACCGGCTTGGTCTTCAATATCAGGATACATGTATTTATTATCCTTGCAAGGATGGAAGTAGTCGTCACACACAGAGCTGCGTGGGACAACTAGTTCCCAGGACAGTGTCCTTACCATGCTGATATACAAGAGAGGGAGTTACAGTCACAAGATGGAGGAATACCGGTTCAAAGCAGTATTCTCACATTAGTTAAGATTAGCTAAGGCCTGCGTAAGCAATAAACATGACAGTCATATGCCTGTCTCTCGAGGGGCTGTGTCATCATGCCAATCTTAGGAACATAGCTATCATAACTTCAACACAGTGTCTCATGAGCGTCATCCATGTAGTCGAACATCCGGCTACGCACACGGCTATGTACGCGGCTACGTACGTGGCTACGCACACGGCTACGTACACGGCTACGCACACTGCTACGTACACGGCTACGGCTACGTAGGGCCTCTCTTATCACGTGCTACTCTGATATAGAAAAAACATTCAGTATTTTCCCAACATGAAGCATTTTGTTGATAACTCACTTTTACTGACCGCTACTTTACACTGTATCACAGGCCTACTGGGTTTCCCCCTTTCTGTACATAAAAGAGTGAACACAAACCAGATGTCTATTATTGTCCAAATTGAAGGTCAAACGTTACAACATTTTAGAGATAAACCTACTTCTACCCACTGCCAGTTGACACAATGCACTAAACTGTGTAGTGCATTTTCCTTCTTTTGTTGCTAATACTGTTTCTGCTGGTTAGTATTACAGGGAGGGGCTCAGGTGGATCTGGATGGACCGGATTTCAGTGCTGGACCACACACATTTCCCATCATCCCTCTGTGGAGCCCACCTCTGTCCTGTTAGCCTGGCACAAACTGGGAGGAAAGCCTTCAGACGGACAAAGAGCACAGCATCAGAAGACCTGGCTGGAGACAGCCTCACCTGGCAGGGAGAGGCTAGAGACAGCCTCACCTGGCAGGGAGAGGCTAGAGACAGCCTCACCTGGCAGGGAGAGGCTAGAGACAGCCTCACCTGGCAGGGGAGAGGCTAGAGACAGCCTCACCTGGCAGGGAGAGGCTAGAGACAGCCTCACCTGGCAGGGAGAGGCTGGAGACAGCCTCACCTGGCAGGGAGAGGCTGGAGAGACAGCCTCACCTGGCAGGGAGAGGCTAGAGACAAGCCTCACCTGGCAGGGAGAGGCTGGAGACAGCCTCACCTGGCAGGGAGAGGCTGGAGAGACAGCCTCACCTGGCAGGGAGAGGCTGGAGAGACAGCCTCACCTGGCAGGGAGAGGCTGGAGAGACAGCCTCACCTGGCAGGGAGAGGCTGGAGACAGCCTCACCTGGCAGGGAGAGGCTGGAGAGACAGCCTCACCTGGCAGGGGGAGAGGCTGGAGAGACAGCCTCACCTGGCAGGGAGAGGCTGGAGAGACAGCCTCACCTGGCAGGGAGAGGCTGGAGAGACAGCCTCACCTGGCAGGGAGAGGCTGGATGGATTAGTGGAGGATTATCTGGATATCGAGCACTGAAAACCTTCCGTCGTCCATCTTGTCTCCATCCTTCCTCCCTGGCCCTTCTTCTCGTTGTGACTCGATGGTTATGGGACGAAATGACTGCAGCCTTCAGGAAACAGCTGTTACATCCTGCATTGGAGACTTAACGGTGACATTTCCATGTTTTCACGCATTTCCTACCCAGAGTTCCTTGGTGTGCTGGGATCAGTCTGATGTTTCCCCAACAGTCTGAACTGGAATTGGTGCTCAAATGATTCCTCGCGCTAACGCATGACCCGTGTTTATGAGATGAGGGAACCCAGCAGGAAGGGAGCGGTGTAGATTTAAAGAGAGTAAGACTAGCAAATGAAGTATTTGAATATTTGAAGGCTGATTAATGTATTTTCTCCGCCTCTTATGTGCCATCAAATGAGCCGATATGTTATCAAACACAAGCACATCACCACAAAGTGTTGATAATGTAGAAAGGAAAGGACTAGGAGGATGAAGGCGTTTTGTAATACAAAGATGGATGCATATGTTTGTATGGCTTTTGGAGAAAGATATTTGAATGACTAACAGAAAGGGAGTAGAAAAAGATTTCAAAGGGAAAGCGGTACTAGGTTTGAAGTAGAAGAGCAGATTTAGGTGAAATAATATTTTTGAAATACCTTGATTGCTAAACGCATGGCCTGAGTTGCAAACGCATTCTCAAACCTTCAGTATAATTCCATTAAATTCGTTTTTATCAGGCAAAAATGTGGACAGAAGAGCTCAGAGATCAATGTGACTGTTGTTGTTGTTGTTGTTAGGTAAAATCATGATTAAAGAACAGAACAGCAGTAATCGGACGAAGGTACAGAATGTGTTAAATGCAGATCCTCCATCATCTGAAATCTTTTTGACGGGACTCAGGGAAGTGGCGAGGGAAGCGAAGTCAGGCTGAATGCTAAGTGTAACGTACTGTGTACTACCATGCGCCCAGGAGAGGTCTTTAAGGGTTTCTGTGAATCGGTGCATTCTGGGTAATATTGGCTTAGATGCAGAGCTTTGATCACCAGTGTTTTTAACCCTTTTAAAAAAACGTTTTACTGTGTAAAAAGAAAAATCCATACAGTATCTATACCCAGGTTTACAGAAGAGAGCCGACGATAGACAGTGTGTAGTCGTAGCCTAAAAACCGCTCGGTATTCCAGCTTTTTGATCACGTCAGTAAAAAGAAAAAAGGGACCTCACTACTAACTCGTGTAGCTCATCAGGTAGGAATCATGTTAACGCTCTTTTTAAAACGTTTGTGTTAGCTTGTTTTTGTGCTCTGGTTGACACACACACACTTAACCTCTCGATGCTACAGCTGGCACGATTCACATTAAGATGAATTTCTTTCTACTTTGTCAATAAGTTGTGTGTAGGATTTTAATTGGGTCATTTAGCGTTTTGGCTGATGAATTGTGAATGTTAATAAACTTATTTACTCTACAGAAATTCATTGTGTATAATGTGTTGGTGGGAGAAGTACTCAGATCTTGTACTTAAGTAGAAGTACCAGAGTGTAGGAATACTCTGTTACAGTAAAAGTCCTGTATTTAAAATGTTCCTCAAGTAAAAATAGTATCATCAAAATGTACTTAAAGTACCAAAAGTAAAAGTAGTCATTGTGCAGATTGGTCCAGGATAATATGTTTTATAATTAAAGTGTTATCAAAGCTGGTAAAGGTGCAGCTAGTAATGATGACTACTGCAGGGTAGCTTGTGAATTTACTCCAGGTGTAACTGAAGTTTCTTTAAAGGTCACCTATTATGCAAAATCCTCTTCCTCATGTCTCTTCTTCATCAACATGTGTCCCCTCTTCTTCACGTCTCTTCTACATCAACATGTGTCCCCTCTTCTTCATGTCTCTTCTTCATCAACATGTGTCCCCTCTTCTCCATGTCTCTTCTACATCAACATGTGTCCCCTCTTCTTCATGTCTCTTCTACATCACCATGTGTCCCCTCTTCTTCATGTCTCTTCTACATCAACATGTGTCCCCTCTTCTCCATGTCTCTTCTACATCAACATGTGTCCCCTCTTCTTCATGTCTCTTCTACATCAACATGTGTCCCCTCTTCTTCATGTCTCTTCTACATCAACATTAGTCCCCTCTTCTTCATGTCTCTTCTACATCACCATGTGTCCCCTCTTCTTCATGTCTCTCTACATCAACATGTGTCCCCTCTTCTTCATGTCTCTTCTACATCAACACGTGTCCCCTCTTCTTCATGTCTCTTCTACATCAACACGTGTCCCCTCTTCTTCATGTCTCTTCTACATCAACACGTGTCCCCTCTTCTTCATGTCTCTTCTACATCAACATGTGTCCCCTCTTCTTCATGTCTCTTCTACATCAACACGTGTCCCCTCTTCTTCATGTCTCCTCTACATCAACACGTGTCCCCTCTTCTTCATGTCTCTTCTACATCAACACGTGTCCCCTCTTCTTCATGTCTCTTCTACATCAACACGTGTCCCCTCTTCTTCATGTCTCTTCTACATCAACACGTGTCCCCTCTTCTTCATGTCTCCTCTACATCAACACGTGTCCCCTCTTCTTCATGTCTCTTCTACATCAACACGTGTCCCCTCTTCTTCATGTCTCCTCTACATCAACACGTGTCCCCTCTTCTTCATGTCTCTTCTACATCAACACGTGTCCCCTCTTCTTCATGTCTCTTCTACATCAACATGTGTCCCCTCTTCTTCATGTCTCTTCTACATCAACATGTGTCCCCTCTTCTTCATGTCTCTTCTACATCAACATGTGTCCCCTCTTCTTCATGTCTCTTCTACATCAACATGTGTCCCCTCTTCTTCATGTCTCTTCTACATCAACATGTGTCCCCTCTTCTTCATGTCTCTTCTACATCAACATGTGTCCCCTCTTCTTCATGTCTCTTCTACATCAACATGTGTCCCCTCTTCTTCATGTCTCTTCTACATCAACATGTGTCCCCTCTTCTTCATGTCTCTTCTACATCAACATGTTTCCCCTCTGTGGAAAGAGACTCTGAAAGTTTCAGGAACAAAGATTCTCTCTCTTTTTGATCCATTTCTATAAAAACCTGTCTGAAAATGAGCTGATCAGATTTTGCCCACTTTATGACGATGTGTTGTCTTGTGTAACCATTAGCCAATCAGCAAGAGACATGTTTTGTATATATCTGAGAACTATTATATATTGATGAAAAACAGCATAAGACTTGATTATATTTCACATCATTAATCCAAATCTGTAAAGTAACTAAGGTATTAAATAAATGTAGTGAAGTAAAAGTACACGATTTAGCTTTGAACTGTAGTGGAGTAGAAGTACAAGGTAGCATAAATGTAAATACAGGTACTTAAACATTCTACGTAAGTCAGTTTAGGAGGTGGAACATATTATAAGGCAGTCACTGTAAAGTATGTCAAATACAATAAGAACATTTAAAAATTGTCTATGTAGAAAAGGTTTGTGATACTTAGTATACTATAGTACTTCAAAAACATCTGAATGATAGTCATAGTAGCATGACAGGAAAAAGTTAGTGTTTTGGCATTGGTCTGGCATAAAAAGGCATACTATAAAAGGTCCTTAAGGTCAAATAAAGTATATTATATTTGTAAAAGTCATGGTAAGTTTGTCATTAAAGTGATAAACCAGACCTTTCCCAACAGATATGAAAACAGTGCAAAAATAAGGCCAGATGACAAAAAAACATGTGAAATTTTATTTTAATATAAAATACATAAATAAAGCATCTGCAAGTGGCATCAGAAGCATGTGCACATATTCATATACACACATCCATATATGTAGAGGACTCAAACACGCTACCAGGCATACGATTCACCCCACAAAATAAAGTATAAAGAAACAAAACGATGGTAGTTGCAGCCATTTAGAGAATATGTTACGTAGATATGTGGTTTGGACCAATGCCTGAACTCGACACAGGTCACATGATCACCGCAGCAGGTTTCCTTTAAATATTGACCCTGGAGACACTGATCTAGAAACTGATCATAACTCATCTGTAAACCCTTCAACATAAACTACTGATTTGAGACCAGTGGAACCAGAAGTCACTAAGATATGTCTCTTATATGCTGCAGAGCATCTCCCATTAAAGTCTGCAGATCTTAAAGTTTACAAAACAAGATATTTGAAAAAGAAAGCAACGTTTAAACATCGATGTCCGACTGAAATGTCTAACTTCTAAACCTGTAGAATCAAACATCATTAGACTACATTTGGAAAGAAACTAGCTTTTCTTGTCCTCTTCGCTCCAGAATAGCAAGAAAATAAACATTTGACAAGTTGAACGCAGCGTGTGTCGTAGAAGAATACAGTTATATTTAGTTTCAATATCTCTGCCGATTGCACTTTTAAACATCTGTCCCTTAAATTAAACATAGGATACGACCCTTTGTTTAACATCTCTTTGGCCAAATAAACTCAACTTTTTAAGAATGAAGAATCTTTACATGAGAGAAGTTAGAGGTGGCCAATCAGCCGTCCCCATTTCAATGAAGGCGGGGCAAACATACAAACATACCAGTATCAGACAAACAGACATTTATATGTAAAAACAGACATTCCTCAGAAAAACTCTTCGTGCCGTTTTCTGTTTCGTCAGGAATGAATCCTAAGACCAGGTAATGAGTTGGCGATTTCCTGTTTGCTCGTCACAAAATCAGCGTGTTTGGTTAGACGCCTGAAACGAGGTCTGTGGTACACACGTTCACGTTTAGTTCACTAAATAGCTGAATGCGATAACGCAGCTGATAACAAGTGCCTAAATGAGACTACTAACCAACCAAATGTGTGTTTTCCACAATAATCCAATCTGTTAGCTTTTTGTCTTGAACGCCCTTTCGATGCCAACTCTCAGGTCTGCCTACACAAATACACCATCTCTGCCCCTCTGACGCAACAACAACAGTAAAACTTGTATCTGCCTAAAACTGCTTCCATTGGGCTAAACGGAGCATGGAGGTGGAACGTTAGCCCACGCAGCAGAACAGATCGATATGTCTGTACTTCCTCTCAAACATCACTTCTCATTCAACACCACGATTCAGACGCTGCCAAAAAAGCTTGTAGGAAAAAAAAGTGATATTTTGCAGTTTGTCCCAACGACGAGAAACGGCTTCTTGACCAGAAGAACTTTTTGAAGCTTAAGCTGAACTTTAAAATCTGTTTTTGGCAAGAGGAGAGGGGGGGGGGCAATAAGAGCTCATATAAAGCCGGCTTAGGCAAAGACATCATCTTACTGGAAGAAGATGACATGGCAGCGGATAGATTTGAAGCATGTGTGAGCGTTGTGGGTGTGTCTATGCGAGCTGGGTTTTGAACGCCCCCCAGGCGTGGAAGCAGCGGCTGAAGCAGTGTGGCTCGTTTCCTTTCCGCACCAGACGCAGCTTCCTGGGCGGCTCCGCCTCCTTCGAGCGCATGTGCTGGATGTAAACCTGCAGGGGGGGGGAAGTCAGTGAGATGAGGATGACAGCAGAACCTTTTCACTACAGATGGGGTCCAAAACTAGCGAGCCACATGAATGTCTGGGAGCAAATACATTTGATACGCTACACAATACGGCCAGGATCCGTAGAACTTTCAGAATATTGGGTTGCAGGTTAACGTTTTCCAAAGGGGGGTCCGTCACTTTTAATTATCTTTGCCATTTTATAATACGTTTCTTAAAGTCTTTCATTTGTGTAAAGCACTTTGAATGAGCTTCTGTTGAACGGTGCTAGATACATAATCTCGCCTATTGTTTGAACCCAGTTTTCCACACTAACTAAATCACAGCTTCTCACTCACCTGGCAGGCTTTGAGACTCAGCTTGATCTCCACCTGGCTGGTCTGAGTGCCGACCCACATGTACACCTGAGGGAGGAACAGGAAGTGACGCACAAACACAAACAGTTAATGGTTACAGATGAAAGGAATTAGTCCATCACTCAGATTTAAGATGGGCTGTTACCTCCTTCCCGTTGTCCAGCAACATGATGTCATCGTCAGCCAGGTCGTCCTGACAGAAGTCCGAGCACTTCTCCGACACGGAGAAATATCCCTTCTCATTGGAACACCTGAGGGAGGGAGGGAGGGGAGACAAATAAACCATTGGGAAGTTAACAGTTGATGAAATGAGGAGGAGGAAGGAGACAAAAGACGGTGGCATTGAGAACGAAGCAGATTCAACTTCATATCAATTTATAGGTCGCACTTTTATAAACCATTGCATCACCTGTTAGACGCTTTTATCCAAAGCGACTTAATCCCCACAGGAGCACTTTGGGGTGAAGTGTCTCAGGGACACGACGACATGCTGACTGCAGTGGGGTTTGAACCTGTGACCAACGCACACTCCACTGCGCCACACGCCTCCCATAATAAGTACATAATACCTAGAGATGATGTGCACTCACCTGAAGAGCCGAGCGCGCTTCATATAATCTGCGTCTTCATCGTACTCTTTCTGAGAGCCAATCCCCACCCAGAAGAAGTTCTCTGGCTCCTCCCCCTCATTTATTACCTAGGAGACAAATTGAATCTTCAGTTTGACAACAAACAGACACCTAAGTATCTTTCTCAAATCTGGAGAGAGATAAAGTAGAGAAGCTTTTTATATCTATCGTCACATTTTATGACGTCAATAATGTTTTATTTAGAGTTTAAAATGTTGACAGTTTTAAACGTTTCACTACGGCTCTAGCAAATCATTAAAATGTCTTTAATTGGAATTTAAAAGTGAGAGTATTTGAAGTTTAAGCAAAGCAATGAAAGGAGTTGTGATGATATAGGAGCGACAGAGCGTGTGTGTGGGATTGACCCTTGACCTTTGTCGAGCATTAGAAGCTTCACAGAATAACAAAGAAACATTCATTATAATAAAGGAGTTGAATGAAGCACACAGGCACCTCACGAGTACCTGTTTGCTGTACGTGTTGTCGAACATGCTGTTCATGATGTCCTCGGACAGCTTGGCCTCGTCGGGGTCCGCGGCTCGGCCCACCCACGTGTACACGATGCCCTGATTGTCTGTGCTCTCAAACGGTACCTGCAGAAACCAACTGTTATACAGGAACCAGAAGAACCCTTTTCATAAACAGTACAACGTAGGAGGAGAACCGAACCTTGAGAACAAAGCAGAACTCCGAGTTGAGGTTGCTGGAATCTGTTCCGATCTGGATCGTCCTGAGAGAGATCAAAGAAATGAAGTTCTGCAGACAGTGGTGCTGTGCTTTGATAACAGCTGCTCTCAGAGCTGGGTGTACCTGGTGCAGAGTGCGCTGCCGTTGGTGCGGATGTGGTAGAGCGAGGGCTGGGCGGCGTCCAGCTTCTGTTTCCTCTTCCCTTTGTGGATGATGAACTTCCTCTTGAAGTGCGACAGGAACTTGAGGTTCTCCTGCTGCTGAGTCATCCGCACCACCTGAGCAGCGAGGAGGGAGAGGGTTAACGATTCACTATACGCTCAGAGCAGGGTTTCCGGTAACCCTTTCTATTAAGGTACACAAATTCACCATCAACTAGTTGTTCATTAACATTCATATTAGCTCTTTAATAGTCAGCATTAAACACTTATTAACGCCTTATTCTAGTAAAAGGCCATTAGTCGAGTTGTTCCTCAATAACCGTCTAATTAGTGCTTATTTATCAGAATCATATGCGTAGTTACAGCAGGAAAAAGAGCAGCTTAATGTTACATGTGTTAAATATGTGACATGCATTTTAAAAAAGTACTAAGTTATGATATAATTAAAAAAAATATATAATACAAAAATAAAAAGTTACATAATTAAAAAAAGCCAGGTATATATTACAGTTATTAACGGCATCTATATATTGCACATCTAGCACATATTGCACATAGGTGGTTGGTATTTAACAGCAAGGGTTGATATAGTCTGTGCTGCGGTGTGTGTGTGTGTGTGTGTGTGTGTGTGTGTGTGTGTGTGTGTGTGTGTGTGTGTGTGTGTGTGTGTGTGTGTGGGGGTAAACTAGGGGCTGTGCTGGTTGTATAGTCCGGCCGCTGCAGGAAGGAAAGACCTGCGGTGTCTCTCCGTGACCATTGCAAGTAAGGAAGTTGTTGTACATGAGTGTTGGTCTTAATATGCTCAATAAGGCAGCAGTACCACGAGAATAATAATTCTCCCATAATAACACAAATATGATCTATTCTCATGTAGCAAGACATGAAAAGTGTTAACTGTCTAAATAACTCAAAATGAGGTATTTCTATCTCCATCTTTTTGTTCCCCTTTCTTTACAGGTTAATAAACATAGGAACAACACTTGCAGAAAAACCGGCATAGACAACAACAGAGCGGGATTTCCGTTGTCCACGAGTGCGTTCAGACCCGCTCCCATACCTTGAGTTTTCCGGGGAAGAGGCTCTCGAACTTCTTCTGCAGGGAGAAGGTGAAGGTGAGCCAGCCCATGTTGGAGGCCTGCCTGCCCTGCCAGAAGTACACCACGCACTGGAAGTCTTCCTCAGGCTGCTTCTCCTCTTCCTCAGCTGCTGCGGCGCTCTCCCCCTCAGCGCCCTCACCCCCCTTCTTCCCCTTCCCCTTCTCCTCGTCTTCGTACTCCACAGCCACCCAGTACCTGAAGGAGGCAGAGCGGGGTTAGAGAGAGACTGACTCGCTCTGACAGGACACAGAAACCAACATCTCCCTATTGTTTATTATTGACATTTTGGTTTTAGCCGACTGGTTTTCTATTTATTTGTTTGTCTGTTTTTGTATGTCTGTTTGTCTTCTGTCTGTGTGGCATTTAGTTTGCCCTGGTGTTAAGCAGTATTTACATTGTTACTCTACCTATGTTTCTATAAAGTGAACATGTGTTGACCTACTTTTGATACATGCTCTGATAGAATAACTGTATGCTGTTGAAAAAACCCAATAAACTAAGTTTTAAAAAGAAACCAAGATCTTTCTAAAGGCTATGGCTCCTTTCTGTTTGTGTTGCTCCGAGGGCAAAAAGGTATCGTACAATTATAAACTATTACTATTTTCCAATTTCACTAAGTTACATATTTTGGTACCACTTTAAATAAGACTACCCGTATAAAGGGTTTACCAATAGTTTGTCATTCATTTATTAATTAGGTTGTGAACACTTTATAAATCATTAAGCTTTTATAAGACATGAGATAAACAGGGCAACTGTGACCGGTTGCTTGCCAAATAGTGAGCCCACATATATCTGTGCTGCTAAGTCTTATATTGGCTTCTTCGTCTCCTTCATCAGCCAGCCTCCTTGGTATCTGTTGTTCACTGAGTTGATTCTCGCTAAGTAGCCAATATAAGGCTTAGTCATCCTGCCAAATAGTGAGCCTGTGCTGATGTATGAACACTATGTTAGAACTGGTTTATAAAGGGTTCTTAATGATTACTAAAGTGTTTACAACCTAATTCATAACCTAATTATGAATCCTTTATAAGGGTAGTCTCATTGTTTGCTATTAAGTGGAAACCTGGACAATAGCATGTATTTTACCTAGATGGGAAAATAATTGGGGGAAAACTAAATCTTTTGGAAAATAGTAAAAAAAACGACCAAGTATTATTTCTACATTGTTAATTATAAGCTTTTCGGGAGTGTTTGGCCATTGTTGGTCCATCAGAGGCTCTGATTGGCTCCCCACAGTCACATGTCCTACCTGCAGAGGAAGACGTAGCAGTCCTGCGTGTGGAAGTGACCGAACTCTTCCTCAGGCAGGCGGGCGAACTTCTTCCCCTCCAACACAAACCCTTCCATCCCGTCCAGGTCCTCGTTCCACTCCTCCATCAGACCTTCAGCCTGCACACAGAGGGAGAGACATGTGAGCCAGGAGAGACCTCAGCCTCAAAGAAGGTCTTCAGGTGTGAGTAACTCAACTATTAAATGAGTCAGTGGAAATGAACATTTAATTTCATTTTCCTCGTACGATGTGAGGGTCTAAGGACAGAGGGTCTAAGGACAGAGGGTCTAAGGACAGAGGGTGTCGTATTGTCATACTGATATTCTGTACACACTGTGAAGACCACTGAGACAAAAGTAACATTTGTGATATTGGGCTATATAAATAAACATTGATTGATTTGTATTTGTTCCGTTCATGGTATGCACAACTTAAAGGTGGGGTAGGTAATTCACTTCAGAAACACTTTGTTATATTCCATGGAATGCTCTTAACATCCCGAGAGCAATGAATACATGAAATGCTTTAAAAATAAATACATAAAACATCATCTGTGGAAGCCGTGGCGCTGCAAAAAGCACGACCAATCATTTGAGCGAAACACAAAAACGCACAAAATAAGACTTAGTTCCCACTTGACAGTTAATGGGAAGAAACAAAACAACAATAGCCATGTTGTTACCTCAGTGAGGGCCATGGCGGGCTGCCGGGGGAGGAAGAGGGCGGTGAGGTCGGCCTTCATCTTATCCTTCTGCTCTGCGTCCTTCTTCACCTGAGAGGAAACACAGAGAGACCATCATCACTCTGATACCAGACACAGGCAAGAGCTCCTGCAACATGTCAGTGCTCGATATCCAACCAGTGTGATGTATTTGAAACCCTTTGTATCGCTGACCTTGCCCTGCAGGTTGTCTTTCTGCTGGACGGTCTCAGCTGCTCTGGTGTAATCCACCTTCAGCACGTCATCCCAGTTCTTAAACTTAGACTTATACACCTGAGGAAGAGGAGGAGGAGGAGGAGGAGGAGGAAGAGGAGGAGGAGGAGGAGGAGGAGGAGGAGGAGGAGGAGGAGGAGGAGGAGGAGGAGGAGGAGGAGGAGGAGGAGGAGGAGGAGGAGGAGGAGGAGGAGGAGGAGGAGGAGATTAGATTTACTTTATTGATCCCACTGTGGGAAACTGTTGTCACGGTAGCATGTAAACAAGGGTCAGACATATCAAATATGTAAATATACACATATCAACAGTGAAAGGTATATATCTACAGAGTATGTCTATAGAATACACATTATAAATAAACAGAATTAAAGTTGGATGATTTAAGAAACTAAAATGAGGTATAACGGGTTGAACTGTGCAGAAAAAGGAGGTCAACTAAATATAATTATTTTTGCACTGAATTTGACATGAATAATAACGCAGGCACATTTTATAAAGTATTTCCAAAGTTTCATGATATGTATTCTTCCTTCTTGTAACGGTGCACAGTGTCTTTCTGTTATCATCCATTCACTTTAGAGAAAGCCGTTTCCTAGAAAGTGCATAACGTGCGATTTATAAAAAAAAAAAATGTAATATATTTTTTTTTTAGGACGTGCGATGCTGAGTAAGCAAATTAACTCAAACACGTCATGTTACAATTATTTTACTGCTTGCTTCAAAAGGAAAACTCGCACGGCTCTCATGTCAGGGGTACTTGAGTGAGTGACCTCAAACCACCAATCACAATCACATCTCCAAAGCAACCGGACCCGGGGATTAAAGGTCAAAACACAGTCGTTTCATGTGTTTCTCCAGCGCATGCTAACCGAGCTAGCTCAGCTTGTTGCTCTGATAACTTAAGATCCAGACGTCCGTGACTAAAATCCTTCATCCGGTTAAATATAGTTAAACAAATACCAATTGTATCGCACTAAAGTTCAAGAAAGGATGGTTTGCGGACAAAAAAAAAACTGTCTTTTTTTCAATTCCTGTATGTTTTCATATCGCAGGGAAAATCACAATGTACGTTTTTTCCAATATCGTGCAGCCCTAGATACCGCCATGAGACAGCATGTAAAGCAGGTGGATGTTATTGAGTTTTAAGAAGGGGTTGTGCCGTCCCACCACCTTCACTCCCCAGTCCCTGCAGCAGTGAGTGAGAAGTGTTAACAAAATGATTTTATATTTGATATTGTTGCATCGACTCAGTCGTCTTGTGTCTTATCTGTCAGAGAGAAACCATTATTTATTTTCATTATCATACGTTTGACTTCCTTGTGTCTACTAACCTGATAAATGTTATATTTGCTGCATGTACCTTTTAAAGTTCTTAACAAATCATCTGAAGGGAATTTCTTGTGGTTTGTTTTTTGTGTCACTTTGTAAAGCACTTTGAGCTGCGTGTGTTGTATGAAAAGTGCTGCATAAATAAAGCTTTTTTATTATTATTGTTACCTGGCACTCGGTGCCCTCCAGGTTGCGGGTGACCGAGGCGTGTTTGGGCCGGTGCAGCATGGAGCAGATCTCCTGGCCCAGCTTCAGGGCGGCGGCTCGGACCAGACGAGGAGACTTCCTCCCGATCCAGATGAAGACGTCGGACCAGCAGTCCAGGATGTACACGCCCTTAGTGTCCAGCAGGGACTGCACCTGGGGACACGAGAGGGACAACGTGGAATCAGATATTGACTTTTTAAATGGCAATATTTCAAAAAGTCGTGTTTTTAGCACATAAAGTTACCAGTCTGAGCTCCGGCTGAGTGTCCAGTTTGATCTTGTGGTCTTTGTGCTCCACGGACAGCTTGTAGTTGATCTGAGGCAGCTCCAGGTAGCCCAGACCCAAGCCCACCTGCAGGACAGGATACACAAGAAACAAAACATCAGAGAACTGTAACTTCCTGCTGGGCGATGATATCTGTCGTCATGCTGCCCCCGTCATGTTGCTTAACGTGTTATCACGCTCTAGAGACTTTTTGATAGTTCTAATAAACCCTTTTTTATTGTTTCTGCAAGAGTTAAAGGTGGGGTGGGTAAGTTTGAGAAACCGGCTCGAGATACACTTTGTTATATTCCATGGAATGCTCTTAACATCCCGATAGCAATGAATATCTGAAGCGCTTTGACAAAAAAAAAATACATAACAACATTTCATCAGTGGAAGCCGTGGCGCTGTGAAAAGCACGACCAATCATCTGAGCCGGCTAAAGTAACTGGATGGCCTACCTGCCTGTCAGCCTTCCATCTGTGCACTAACTGATCTCGTGCCCTCATTGGTCATGTGCGCGTTCGTGTGTGTTGGAGGAGGGGCTCTGTGAGGAAGTGGCAGATTTGTTCCGGCTGTGTATTTTCAAATTCTCGCGCACTCGAGCCGGTTTCTCCAAAATGACCCCACCTTTAACTAAAGGTCATATTTCCTGCAACGGCGTTTTTGATGGACTTTTTATTTCTTTTCTAAATAATTTGCAAGTCTATTTCAGTAGAAAGGTGTGTAAGAAAGGGCCTCGTCTAATTAGCAAAACATGTATAGATTCATTTCAACGCTCAGGTCCTAGACCCTCACAAGATAAATGATTTGTTACCGTAAGAAGCCATTTTAAGTAGGGAATGTAACCCATTGAAATACTCACTACAAACAGCAAGGCATAATCAATAAACATCATTTCATTTGGAGCTAAAGAACTGTTCCGATTGTAACCATTGCCATCATTTAGACAACATTTTGACTCGTCTGCCATCATGTATTAAAGTTAAAAAAAGTACTAGTTTTAAGTAACAACTAATGTGAAATGAACCTCTTTGATTCCAGTCATATTTCAATGGGACTGTTTGTGGTTCAGTCCATCCCACATCCTGCACATCATCATGGGTTTACAGAAACAGTGACTTTGAGATCAAGCAGAAAGCTCCACAGTGAATCCCACACACCTCCTAGAGCTCTGAGCCGTTACACCCACACTGCAGGAGCACCACGCTGACACCATGCTGAAGCAGCGCTGCCGTTCAAACGCTCACCTTGTAGAGTTTGGGTCTGACGGGAGAGAAGTCGTCCGGAACGTGTTTCTTGATCTCCTCCGGTTGTCCTCCCAGAACCTCCCAGAAGCCCGGGGGCTCCTGGTTCTGAGAGAGGGTCGTGATCTCCGCCTTGCCCTTACGCTCGTTCTTGTTGATCTTCTCTGCAAACAACCTGCAGGATGAAACAATGCGCACACACTTTGACGCTTCGCTGAACTACAAGTATGTCGTTTTTATGGCTTTAGATTTGCCTTCCGTCGAAATGTTTGTGTTTCTAATTGCTTTGTGTCCTACCTGGCCTTCGTGGTGCCGCTCAGAGTCGCGTTGGCTCCTCTCCAGATAAAGATGTCTGGTCCACTGTCCAACAGGAAGACAAACCTGCCATAAACAAAACAAAAACAATCAAAAACTAACTACAGTTAATGTCAAATAGAAAGGGATCAAATCAAAATGTATCTAATATCACAGGGCTTTAAAATGTGTTCAGCATCATATACCCTCCGTCATAAGAGTGTGAGTGTAGGCAGGAAGTGTGTGAGAGTTACCGTGGGTCGAGCGAGGAGGCCTTCACCGGGACAGACTCCAGTCGGATGTTCTTCTTGCCGTAAACTCTGTACAACCTGTTGGACAAAAACAATATTTAATTCCTCATTCAAAATGTTTTCAGACCAACAGACACAAAAGTTCACATCACAACATCTACCGCTTTAATCTGACTAAATGTATTCAGACTCCAAATGAATAATCTCCGACAAGATAACATATAAAAGCAAAGAGAAATGATATATCTATTTTTAGGGAACACGTTTTGTTGGTGGAGATTGTTGTTGTAATACTCATGTTGGCCACAACAGGCTGACAGTGATGAGTAATGAAGCAACTGGCAGTTACCATTAGCCTGCAAGATGATTTATATATGTAACTTTGAAACATTAAACTCTTTACCCAAACAAGTTTCACAATTTTACGGAAGATAAAAGGATACCCTGAAAAGCATTTTGATCAGAGTTATGGATCCAGGTTCTTCCATTTCTCTAACTTGCCTCACGGCGCTTCTGTTCCTCGCCTCGAAAGACATAAAGAATGGAAATAACAAAGACGCATTTGAAAAACAAGTCTCGTACATCTCACCTGATAGGATAGCTGGTGTCCTCCACAGTGTAGAAGCCGCTGGCTGTTCCTCCCTCGATGTAGGAGATCTCATTGTTAAACACCTGCACGCAGACAGAAAACAGTCTCGTACTCAATAGGTCGCCATTGTCAGTATGTGCGTCTGTGTTTGTTCAAACGGTGTATGACTGATGATATGTGTATGTCTCTTAATGTCCACTATGTTTGTATATGTACATGTACGCGGAACTGCAGGACGGAGTCCAGAACACATTTCCTTACAGGGACAATAAAGTATATCGTATCGTACTCCATCCAATAAAGAAAATGGATTTTACAAACATTGTGTTAAAGCATCCGGACTAAATCCACCAGACTCAGGGACAGTTTCCTCCCACAGGCCATAAGACTGTTAAGGGGCGTACACACCAAACTGACACCAAAAGAACACGACTGTTGTGTCGCCTCGCGTCTCTGCGTCTTGGCCATGTGTCGCACTGGAACACACCGCAAAGACTTCAGCCGACGGCCAAGTTGCACGTACGAACTGTGCATGCGTGAGTGGCAATAACTCTCCTTACCAGCAGGCGGCGGTAGTGTGGATTCGTCATTCAAAAGAGGCAACAACCAGAAGACAGACTGCGTGATACACCGAGAGAAGAAGAACAGACTGCGTTTTCACTCTACAGCGAGAAGCTCACGGGGCTTTCCCGAACCCGTGTCGAGAGCTGGAGTTAAATGAAGTCTCAGATTTGCCTTCTTAATAGTTTGTTTGGGTCCCTCCCTTCCGTTTCACTTCTCATGCACTGATTCGCTAAGCTGAACAGCCAATCAGAGTGATTTCTTTAGCCGACGGCCCTTTACCGACAGCCAAGCGGCGGAAGGTGTCGGCACGGCCGTAAAGACACGACGGGGCGGGACACACCAATCTGAGTAGGGCGAATCGACGGCCCGACATCTATCGACGGCCGAAATCGGCTTGGTGTGTAAGGACCATAGACCAGTGTTTCTCAAACTTTTTCACAACAAGGACCACTTAACCAATAAAATAACACTCGTGGACCACCTAACTCCACAAATATCCAAAATCGCATCGTTTTTCTAGAACAGATTACAAATCGCCTGAAAATGGTACAAACAAGTGGCAGCAAGTGTGATGAAGGTGTTGCCCTGGGCTTTATCATGCCATCGAAAGTGAAACTTAACCTCGCTCCATTGCGGAGATATTCCCGCGAGAGTGCGGAAAACTTAAATGTATTTATTTATTTCAAATGTGAAATGTTACCAATATACTCGCGGACCACTAGGGGGCGCTCACGGACCACCAGTGGTCCGCGGACCACACTTTGAGAAGCACTGCCATAGACTGTAAGGACCTTTAAACACCTCAACCTTTGAAAGAACATCCATAACATTCATCTGGTTGCAACTTAGATATATATCAATATTCCAATGACTTGTATATAGACTATTCTGCACTGTTTCTATTATATTCTATTTTATTTACTTGCACTATTATCGGTTTGATTGTGTTGCACTGTTGGAGGAGCCTGGGACCTCAGATTTTCATTGTCATAACTACACTGTAAATAAAAGCCTTGAATCTTGAAATGTTACACTGTAAAGCACAGGGGTTTTACTTTGTGTTAAGCTTTGACTCTCAATTGTCTGTCTGCCTATCGGTGTGCCCCTATCATCTGTACAGTTGAGTCTACGTACGGCGCTGAACTCCTCGCTCTCGTCTCCCATCTCCTCCCTTATCGTCCTGCACTCGGCTCCCAGGAAGTTCCTCAGGTTGACGGAGTGGATGGCGGCGCCGGCTTTCTTGTCCAGCGTGGCGTCCTGACCAATCCAGTAGAAGATCTGCCAGTTCAGCTGCCCGTTCTCATCCAGGAAGGTCTGCAAGTTCACAAAGGACGGAGGTAAGAGAGTTGTCCTGGCATATAGAGTGCAGGACAGTTTACAGAAATATATATCCTGTGTTGTTTGATTTGATGTGTCACCTTGAGGATGATGTAGCTGTCGGCCTCGTAGAACTTGCTGTGGAAAGCTTCGTCCACCTGTAGAGGAATAAAGTTCTCTATCTGCCACACGGACACCCCTGGGACCTGAAGGACGGGGGAACAGGAGATATAAACACGGATATCTGTACCATGCAAAACTTGAAATGTTTATCTGACATTTTTATAATCAATCTTTTAGTTGGTTGGCTGTAGCTTGGACAGAATCAGAATACTTTTTTTCTCCCGAGGAAAAACAGGTTTATTTTAGGCAAAGCAAGTTTATTTATATAGCACCTTTAAAACACAATTTTAGAATGAAATAAAACAAAAAATATGATTATTAGATGAAATAAAAATGTCCAGTAAAAGATCAAACAAATAAAAAATAATACAAATATGTATATGAAGAAAATAAGTCAGAAAGGGCAATACAAAAGAAATAATGAAATTAACATATTTGTATAAACACAAGAAGTTAAATTAAAACAAATGATTTTGATAAGATAAGAAGTTCAACAATCCAGTAATATGTCCAAAATATGTTAAAGGTTAAAATCAAGTAAAAGATCAAATAAATAAAATAGATATTTAGATAAATCTAAGTAAGTAAAAGTGTGCCCCTCACCTGGCCCACGTCCTCCATAAAGAACTCGGAGTAGTCCAGCGCCGGTTTCTCCAGACTCTTGTCCCAGCGCCGGACCTTTAGATCGGCGAGCTTCAGTTCCCCGTTCTCCTGCAGGACCAAAGGATGTGTTTACAGTAGGAAGGTAGTTTAAGAACCTCTGGACGTTGTATCCATCCTTCCTGATCTTTACCGTTGACTCCAAGTTGTTCCTCTCCTGAGCGACGTCGCTCATGCCCTTCAGCACCTGCTTGGCCTGGTCGTCCTGAGAGCTGTCCTTCCTCCTCCTCAGCCTCATCTTCCTCGCCAGGGGGTCTCGGGGGCTGGCTCCTGCAAACATAAAGACAGAGATACCAGGAGTTACTTCAGCATCAGCAGACTGATATCAACATTAATATCGTATTAAGACTTTCACATCGCTGTATATTTTTAAATATACATATTATACTGTATTTTGTAGTAGAATTAGCAATTTGTTTATATAACTTCTTATGTTCATACAAATATTTTATCTACTTTAATTCTACTTTAAAATATATCTTTTATTTTGTTATAAAATTGAGAAACTGTCACAAAATGTCCGCCTGGGATAAAAGAAAGAATTCTGATTCTGATGATTTTAATGAAGTTTTCATTTAAAAAAATGTGAATGATTTTTTAATATTAAATAAGGAACTTATACTATAAACATTAAAGTCCAAACTCTTCCTCCAGTTACAGACGTAAACACACGTACCTCCCCCAGCAGCAGCCACGGTCGCCGGCGAGGCCCCGGCCAGACGCAGCTGGTTCTGCAGAGAGAAGTCGATGTTGTACCACTCGGCTCCGCGGTCCACCGGCTTGGGAGGCATCACCAGGTTAGGGTTCTCACGCACATCCAGAACCTAGAGACAAAAGAACGGGTTGCATCATCATGTATTTGCATTTACCCTTCCTAAACATTATGACCTTACAGAGCACCAATCATTCCAGGTCTGTTTGTCATTAGCATTCCTACCGAAATGTAAAATATACTGGACTATTGTCTTTTTCATGAAGTTGTTATGTCTGTCAGATTAAGTTCTATTTGCTTTATCCAACTTCATCCTATTTTAACTAGAATGTATTGTATGTAAGTGTGTTATATGTTCTCTCCAGCCAGGAGACAAGTTACTTTATGACACTTTTATGAAGTAATCAACCCTATAAATAATCTACAATTTTCCCTAAAATAAATGCTGTTTAAATCCAATTCTGTCAGAGTATTTGACCTTGCAGGGAATTTAGGTTAAATGTCAGGTCACCCAACACCATGGCAAATAAATAAAAAATAAAAATAGACCTCATATATTCCATATTTCAACTGTCTGGAAGCACTGACTCAGTGTTGAAATGTTTTTGTTTCTTAGAGTTCAGAAGTTGCAGAAACATTCAAATTGAGTGGCCAGTAAAAAATGCTCTGTAACCTGCCACAGTGACTGGTGGAGAAACAAGTGCATTTTTAGTTAATAGTGATTGTACCTCTAAATCAGTCAGGAAGTGGACGGCCTCGGGCAGCGTTACCAGACGGTTTTTATTCAGCACCAGCTTCTTCAGCTTGCCACACCTACACAACACAAAACCACATATTGTATCAACATAGCCAATTACTCTTGTGTCGACATAACTCACCATGTACAGAGAATCTCCTACCGCCAGCATACTTCTACATAGCTGTTGAATTTGGTTGTTTAGCTATAAATGCTTCTTCATCAAGACTCAGCCTTTTAGGGGAAAATATAAATATCAGAGTAACAATGCACCTTCAGTCTGTGTGTGTGTTGGTGTGTAAAGCTCACCTGCAGAGCCCCTCTGGGATCAGTTCCAGGTTGTTGTTGGCAGCCATGAACTCTGTGAGGCTGGACAGTTTGCCTACGCCCGGAGGCACCCCGTCAAAGTCCAGTTTGTTGGAGTTCACATACAGCTTCTTCAGTTTGGACAGCTTACAGATTGCAGACTGAGTAGAGACACACAAGAGAAATGTTGATTTAATGCAAGTTACAAAAGCTAGTAAGATTCCAGCAAGAAAGTAGATCACATTGATAACCCAGTAAAACACCCAAAATAATGTAATCAAATGTGTCCTTAAATGTAGCAACAACTCCAGCTCCACAGCGTTCTAAACACAGAAAGATAAAACAGCGGCTCCTAGCTGCAGTGAGTGTTTCTCCGTGAGCTTACGGGCAGGGAGGTGAGCTGGTTGCGGCTCAGGTTGAGCGTCTCCAGCTGCGTCCACTGGTCGATGCAGAGGGACAGCTCTGTGATCTGATTGCTGCTCAGGTTCAGTCTCTTCAAACTGCCCAGAGTGTAGAGACACTCGGGGACGCGGGACAGGTCGTTACCGGACAGGTCGACATCTGGGAGGGACGGGAGGACAGAGGGAACACGGGTTAGTAAGAGGATGTTTCCCCAGAGCAACTGTGTTCCTCTAATCTGTTTCCTAATTTAGCAATTGAAACATTGACTTCTCTTATGACTTAGTAGTCAGTAGCAATGGTCAAGATGTCTATGTTTTCATCTGACAATGCACCACTAATAGTGTTAGAGAATAATCGTTTCCACGGGGAGAGAAAGACTGCTTCTCTGTTGCCTGTCAGGTGGTGAATGTTTAAGACTCTGAAATGTTTTACTTTGACTGTACTGCTATGTGAAAAATGTACCACCGTGCCAAGAGGTAACCGTAAGAAGAAGAATGGGCCAAGCCCCGAAAAAAGCTCTGGAAGAAAACATGACAGTGGTGTGTGTGAGTTTATCTACGTGTGTTACCTGCTAAGTGTGTCAGGCCCTCCAGGCTGGTGGGCATGTTGGTCTGGGTCCTCTGGGTGTTCCTCAGGTGGAGAGTCTGTAACGCCACCATGGCTGGCAGCTGGCTGCTCACACACACGGAAATAAAGAGACAAATAAACGTTAAATCAGGTAAAGGTGTGATATTGCCAGATTGTCATTAAAAAATATATTAATGATCATGGTGTCATTTTTTTTTAAAGGATCTATGCCAAACATACATGTTTTGTTAAGTAGAACACAATTTATAGGCCTGTATTTTCTCACAGTACGACAACACATATATTTAGACGGTGCTTTCTTCAATTTGAATATTGTCCATATCGCAATTTCAATCACATTTTTGATGAATTGTGCAGCCCTGAGTCCTGTCTGCTCACCGCAGCTGGGCATGCATCAGCGGGTTGTTGTTCAGTGTGAGCGTCTGCAGGTGGACCAGGCGTCTCATCTGCGGCGGCAGGCTGTCCAGCTTGTTGTCGCTCAGGTCCAGATACAGCAGGTCTGTCAGGTTGATGAACAGCTGGTTGGGGATGGCGTCGATGCTGTTGTGGCTCAGATTCAGAACCAGCATGTTCCTGCTGTTCTCCAGGTCCCGGGGGATCTCCGTCAGCTGGTTGAAACTCAAGTCCTGAAGGAGAATAAGGGGAAATGTGGCGTTTTTGAAGACAATACTGTCAGGGAGGTAGAGTTATGTTGGATGTGGGTTGGTAAGCAGATACATTGGGATTGTGTGAGAGTATTACATACCAGCACAGAGAGGTCATCTAGCTGAAAGATGTCATCGGGGACTCCGGAGTTTTTCAGGTTGTTGGCTCTGGCTACCACCGCCTGCACAGATATAGGAACACAATTAGGGCAATATAAAAACTACACATTGGCACGAGGAGAAGGGGCCATATTAAAAGCATCACATTGAAATGTACAGTGCTTATGGCTTGTAAGAAATTGCCACATGCTTTGTCTTGTGCGCGTGTGGGTGTCACTTACCCGTAGATTGGGTAAACTGGACAGTTCTCCATGTAGAGTGGTCAGGCTGTTGTGACTCACTGAAAGATGCTCCTGAAGAAGAACAACAGAGGTTTTGTTTACAGACTGCACCAACAAAGAAAATATCATCTATAACTCCATAAATACACTCTATAAATGTCCAGTTTGCAACGTACTTCTTGCACTAATTCTCATTTGTCACTAAACAGAATGATTCGACGAAAAACAGGATCAAATCAAGACTGATAAACACAGCCCAGACACTGTGACTCCTTGCTGAGACAGCAGACTAATCTTATTCACCTTTTCACCGCAGCCTGCTGAGTAAAGCTTTGGAGGTTCAGATTAGATAATCCTATCAAGGATATGAAGGACTAAAGTAAGGCTGAGTGTTTTATCAAATGAGGTTGTACTGTTGTCTAAATCTACTGATGTGAAGTCCTTTAAATATAAACAATTAACAATACTGTTCCCAACCATGCATGTATAGATGGCTTGGGGAATTACATTAACATAGGTTGCTATAGGTGACAACTACGATTTCAAGTGCAGTCCTGAAGGTCTCACCAGCTTCTGCAGAGAGGCCAGCTCCTCTGGGAGGTAACACAGTCCGGTCCTGTTCAGCTTCAGCCATCGCAGACTGCTCATACACTTCACATGCTCGGGGAAGTACCCGCCCTGTAAAGACAGAGAGGAAAGGAAGGTCAATGCTAGATCTTTGGAAAGTTAAATTGAGAGGAAGTTGGTGGAGGGTGCAAATAAAACCCACCCAACATTGTCTGGTTACCTAAATCATTTGAGACTGAAATGTTGGTGTAAAACCCTTAGATGTAGTGTTAACACATCTAAGTTCAAACTGAAGTTTTTTCTTCCAAATAATTACCATATGTTTAGCTAAATGTATTAAACACAGCATATGAACCTTGTATATCCATAAGAATAAGAACAGTGCATTTCTTGCATGCACCTACAAACCCTGATATAAGTTGACAGCCTTGCTGGTTTATTGTGAGTCAACTTGGTCATTTAAAATCAGCTCCATGAGTTTAGAAAGCAGACATTTAGCTAGCTGTGATGTGCAGTATTTTATAGTCGGGATAAGAAACCTTTCAGTCGGTCGTTATGATTCATAGTTAGGCAGAGGAAATGATGTCATCCTGTACTGTAGATATAAGCAGCCATTCATTTAACAATAAGGTTATTTATCCAGCTTCGTACTATTTTCATACCAACATGGCAGCTAGCATTACGCACACAAATAGTTCTGACAGTTAGAATACATGCCAGATGATCTCAGCTGTCAGTCGGGCTGCTTTTAATTCCAGTCTCTCAAACTAAGCTCACAAAGTGTGTCTGTTTTCAATCCTGCAACCATGACGACATTGAGTCAACAAACTCTAAAACTGTAACCAAATGTATTGAATTGTTGGCCTTGTAGGTTAGTGATTGTACTAAAACGCTGATAAAGCTGAGACATGTTGTGAAGGGAAGTTTGAGTCAGAGTTAGCCAACAGTGAAGCTAAGTTTGCTAGCTAATGTGACGTTGAAACTAGAGCTAAAGATCCCAAACTACACAGAATGAGCTAACATGTACCCATAACAAAGTAGAAAACGAACCCTTTCAGCCCATTCCTCTAAATAGAAAGTGGTCAAATGCCAGGAAACAGGCTAGTGACGGAAACCAGACAGCTACTTTGTCCATGTCAAACTGACAACTGGCTAACGCCCAATGCTAGCGACGTTAAGCTAAGCTAGTGTTTAGCGAGTTTAGCCGTCTGTTGTGACTGTCTAACTTGGGTTAGCTTTAGCTAGCTAGCTCAACGCGTTCAACCGCGACGAATTCAATACCAGCAAAAACATATTGGAAGACTTACTTTAAAGTCGTTTCCACTGAGATCTACCCCCCTGATGAAGGGAAGAACTCCGGTGGAAGCCATTTCTGGTTGCTTTATCAGCTGCTCTGCCCTCAACTGTCTATTTTGGACCAGAGGCAGGGAGGGTTGTGGCTGGCTGCGGCACACTTCTTCTTCGTTTGTTTTAATGGCGGGCGACAAACCAACGTTTTAAGGTGCATGCCGCCACCTACTGTATTGGAGTGTGTATCGTCAAGACTGAAAGACAATTACAAGAAAACCATGCTAAATTCTAGAAATAAAAACGGTATTGTTGACATATTTAATTAAAGACCGCTGAAAAACAAACAAACGCGACGACATCAGTGTTAATAATAATAATAATAATTCCTTACATTTATTATAGCGCTTTTCCAGATGCTCAAAGCGCTTTACAAATACACATTACACATATTTTTTATACATGCAATGGTCACTGTGGACAATACCCACAGGAGCAAGTTCAGGTGAAGTGTCTTGCCCAAGGACACAGTGTTGTGCAATATGTACCTATTTTGAATTAGTATTATTACTGGCTGCCTTCTGAGTTTGACAATTGTAATAGTCTAATACGAATCTGTAAATTACTATTTGCAATATATGATTGTTCAACATGTTTTTTTATACACTTCACTTCAGTATTTCTCTTTCTATAGTGAATCTTTACAACATAATAATAACACATGTTCAACTGTCTTCTAATTGGATGTTTTCATGATGAATAATGTAAATTGAGTCCAGTATGTCCTGATCTCACCCTGGAGAAAACTGCGCACATTATTTTCTGCGAATTCCCTTTAAACTTTGACACTTTGACATACTTCTGAATATTATTATAACCTCTACCAACAGTTACTGCCACCGCTGTTCCGGAATGTGGACCAAAGGTTAATATTAGTGTGTGTACAGCGCCATCTAGGGGTTTTAACTAGGGACTACAATGCACCCAGGTCTGTGTGGTTGTCCCGTTTTCTACAAGGACTTGCTTATGTGCTTGCTTATGAGTGTGGGGCTCTAGATTAATACGATTACATATTCAGTAATTTTTCTGTGTTATCTGAAGGGATCATCAGTTTCAAATGTCTTTTTTTTCTTATCTAAAGTGGCACATTTCCAGCAAAAACTGCGGTTACATAGAAACTGTCAAGTCATTAAGCGATAGTGATAGTAAAACCAGACGAGGTATAACTTATTTTCAAAATAAGAAGATCTCTCAAGGAAGCTCACGATGAATTGCTGGCGTCTTGCAAACAAATGTTTTATTTTGAAGGCAGTTGAAGCAGTGGAATCGGAAGTGTTTTTGTATGAGATCCTCCCGGTCAGCTGTGCGGTTAAATATCCGTCGCTTAGCCAGCCAAGAAACACATTAAATAAAAAAAGCTATTTTAGGTTTTACATTATGGATAATAATGTAACGCGATACAATGTTCAGCTATATATTTATGATTTATCGAGAGGAATGGCGCGCAGCCTTAGTCCCATCATGTTAGGTAAGTGCAGACAAAAAATCCGGCCTTGGACACAAATAGGGGATTTATTATAATGTATTAACAGTTTGTATGTAATCATTACCGTTCAGTGAACTGATGTTTGGTTAAATCATCAAGATTTTTTAATGCATTTATTTTGAAAATATAATGTGAATCGTGACTGATTTATGCTTATTTATGTTTTAAGAAATGGCTCAGGTCTTGATACAAAACTGATACACTTGTAAGTTACAGCTGCACTGAATGTCGTCTTCTACCGATTCATTTCGTACCCCTTTTTGTTACAGGAAAGCAACTGGATGGTATATGGTATGAACCCTTTTATTTTATTTTGACAGCTGTCTTTTTGATATCTAAAACGACCTCTTGAGTTGTGAAAACATTGCAAGTCCAGGCCATTGACCCATTCATTATCACAGAAAACACATGACTTAATATAATACTGTAATGTTGGAAATGTGACTATTTCTGTCCTTAATTTAAAGCTGAAACCAATGATTATTATCTCATTATTGATTAATTGATTTGATCGATCAACCCTTTGGTCAATACAATGGCAAGAATAAAAAAAGAAGTATCTATTTTTCAAAATCCAAGGCGACTCTCATTGTCTTGTTTTGTTAGTCCAAAACCATAAAATATATACTAAAAAGTACTTAAAAGATTCTGAAAACAGCTCATTTGTTCATACAAAATAAAACAGTTCATAAAAATAAGCAATCAGTTATTTGCCGTTTATTTTTGTGACAATAAGCTAATAAATAAAACTCATTGTTAGCAGCTCTAGCTTATTTTGTTATTGAGTAATGTTTTTGTATTTAGCTTAAAGTAATTTAAAAAAAAGTAGAGCATCATTTAACAATATAAGAGATTGTATTGAAAACAATTATAATACATACTTTGGGAGTTCATTATAACAATGAATTTATCAAATGCTGGGTTTTTAATTTGAATTACTGTGTACTGCTATACGTTATTAGGTTGTCTAACTGGTTTATAGCTTGCTTTTCTGTAAAGAGGCACTTAGTTACAATTTTAAATAAACACAATTCCACTGTTCTAAGCTTTACTTACATCTTTGATAACTGTGTGCTTTCTCACAGGCACACAGCTATAGTGGCATACGGTGAGGAGTTCTTCTACGGAGGGGAGGGGATCTCCAGCTGTCCGCCGGTGAGTCTGTGTAAAGGGGACTGACTCCTTTCACAACTCTGTTATTTTCCACAAGCTTATTGAGAAAAAGTATGCAAACCAAAAGTGACAGCAGAGAGATTTATCAACAAGATTAGATTAGATTATGACTCTTGAAAACTTGAATTATAAAAAAAAAGGTAATGTATATATCTATAAGTACAATATTTTTTACAATATTTACGTGTAGTGTCTTACAATATTTATCGAGTTTTACAATTCATTTTCCACTTTAATAATGTGTTTATTGAAGTGGCCTATAATAGTGTGGATTTACAAACAGGGAGTCTGTAAATCCACACAGTATTGGTGAACAACTGAATTAACTAGTTTTTCCCTGCTCATGGATGTCATATGACGTGTACATGTTATGAGATGTTTGTTTACTGTGTGTTTGTCAGGGTGGGACGATGCTGGGTCCTCCAGACACAGTGGTGGAGCTCGGAGAGACCGAAGTAACTGAGGAGATCTTCATGGAGTACCTCTCTTCCCTGGGAGAAAGCACATACAGGTCGAGTAACTGCTAAATAGCTGTTCTTCAAGGCAACACAAATCAAGACACATAGTATTAATCCTTAAGTAAAAGAGATTCTCACAAGTTCTCAAAGTTTAATTGTCATTTCATTTGGCTAATTTCACAAATCTACTGAAAAACTATTATTTGATATTACTTTTCCTTTTTTTTCTTGGTTCAGAGGAGACAGGTATCGCCTGTTTGAGCACAACTGCAACACCTTCACCAACGAGGTGGCTCAGTTCATGACGGGCAACTCCATCCCATCCCACATCACCGACCTCCCATCAGAAGTCCTCTCCACGTGAGTGTTGAACTCAATCCGTCAGCTCCCTGTGACTCCAATCGAAGGTTTAAGAAAATACAATGAAAAAGAGTCACAATAATATGAATAATAACATATGTGAAAATAGTTGAGCTAACATCAAGCTTCTGGAAAATGTAGTTATAATTTGAAGTTGTTTACTACTCCCCACGTCAGTAGGGGCTTGGACTGGGAGCCGCAGGGTCGCCGGTTCAAGTCCCCGAACAGACCTAAATATGGAGCGTGGACTTCTACTTGGAGAGGTCCCAGTTCACCTCCTGCCCTGCCGTGGTGCCCTCGAGCAAGGCACTGGACACCCCCCTTCCCCCCTCACTCCCCGGGCGCTGTACAATAGCTGCCCACTGCTCCTAGTACTAGACTCCTGGTGCTAGGATGGGTTAAAAGCAGAGAACACATGTCACTGTGTGCTCTGCATGTGAGACCATTACAGAGAGTTTCATCCCTCCCAATATTATTATATGTAAACTATCCATTCTATGTGTCTGGGTCAACCTGCTGTCATACAATCTTAAATGAAACTGCCAAAATGTAGCTAAATAAATATGTTTTATGCAGAAAAATGTATTAACCCAACAGGAAGACCAAGGCCGTTTCTCAATGTCGAGTATACCTGCTGCAGAGCCACTATCTCAACGTCATCGAGTGGCGCCGAAGGACTGTTGAAATGCATGTTAAATGCCTAGCATTCGGCGCCACTCGATGACGTAGTATACTTGAAATAGTGGCTCTGCAGCAGGTACACTCGACATTGAGAAACTGCCCAAAGCAGGCACATTCTTTTAAAATGCATGAATGAAAAGGGGTTTAAATGTATGGTTTAGGCATAAAAAAAGGCCCGGTAACCAAAGAAAAAGCATGTGTCTTTTATTCTTATTCTTTAAACGTATTCTTTATTATTTATTTTCTCACATTCCCCTTTACATCCATTAGTACTCCAATGTAGATGAACAGTTTCTTTAACTGGGTCACAACATGTAAGGTCTCAAATCCAAGAAATTCAATATTAGAATATGAAAAACAAAACGTATAGGAATACAAATGTTTCTAATAGTTTAAGGTCATAAGACGGAGAGGCTTGAGGAGCTTATGAAAAAGAAAGGCAGGAGATTTATCAGATACTTCTTGTCCGTGCACAAATTGAAAGGCATTCGCTGATATATGAAGTTGCTACATAATATAATGCTTTTTGTATGATCAATGTTAAGAACCCTTGCTGCTGTGATTTAAAATATCAAATCTCTTCCGTCTGTCTCCAGACCGTTCGGCCAGATTCTGCGGCCGATCCTGGACTCGATCCACATCGCCCCTCCAGGGGGGAACGTCATCAACCGGGGGAGAAACGCGTAACCTGAGAGCCGCAGATCCCCGTGCGCTCACAAGGTCACTTTTATTGAAGTCAGACAGTCAAGATAATTGTCTTTCTTTCTCCTTTCCTTCTGTACATACATTACACACTATAGCATTTAAGCTAATGGCCATTTTGGAAGCTATTACTGACAAGTGTTTTCTTAAAAATTAATAATTTACACCTCCTTAGGATCCACATGATTTAGTTATTTATTATTAAAGGGGAATCTGGAATCAAATTCAATGTACTTGTAAAACACAGATGAAGTTTTGGGTTTTCTAGCATAGCAGGATAACAGATGCTTTTTAACACTTAAAACTGACTTTAATGAATGTTGCCTTCTTATAAATACATCTATGGAAAGTCAGATGTCCAATTAAGCTTTTTTCAGAAGTAAAATATAACAGACAAATGTATATTAAAGATTTGGAGCACTGTGGCGTAACTTAGCATTTTCATTTTGCAAGAAATTGTACTTTTACTCCATAACATATATAACATATTGCACTTTTTACTCTATAACATTTATCTATAGGCTGTAATCACACCACCTACAACATTAAAATACCTCTTGCGCATTAGTGCATCCAACTTAGGAAGTACAATACATTTTATACAAAAAAGTAAATAGTGTTCCTTTACACCTGGAACTAGTTTAATTCCCATTTTGGTGTTAATTTAATAAGATTTTACTTCTGTAGTTTAGTTATTTAATAATTAATGTAATTGTTTTACACTGACATGCATATCAGATATATGTAGTGTACACTTTTGCATAGATATATTTAATATATTCAATTATATGAAGGCTGTTTGAAGGAACATCAGGATGAAGATAGCTGAAGGATCTTTTAATGTCAACAATATTTACATTTTGCACTTTTATGATTGTTTTGTCTATTGTTCTTTGGTAGCCTGAAGTTAAATGTCCATCATTGACCCTTTTATACCTGTAATATGTGTCAAGTTCAACTGACAAGATATGATTTGATTTGTTGCATCTTTTGTGATAAAGCAGGTTGTTGACACCTAACTCATACTGCAGTTACAATATATAGAAAGGTGATGGGGAGAAAACCACATGTTGAGTATGTGTCATTATAGCAGGACTGGGATCAGTTCACTTTACATTTGAGTTATTCCTACGTATATCATCTCTGCCTGAAACGCCTCCATTGGACTCCTTTGTTTACTTCCTGAACTTAGTGACATCACTACATAACACTTGCGCTTCTATTGGCTAGCGGCTAGTGCTCCAACACATTGTACGTGATAGGCTAAGCGGCGGGACATCTCTAAGCGGTTGACCAATCACAACAGAGCCGGACAGCTAACCAATCAGAGCAGACTGGGCTCTGGTTTCAGACAGAGGGTGAAAAGAGGTGCTGCAGCACAGACAGCATGAGAGTTATAAAGAGCTTTTTGAACATTAAAGCATGGAGACATGTCCCAGGAGAGACACTAAGTACAGATATGAACCTGAAAATGATCTTAATAGGGCCCCTTTAACTTATGTCTCAGATATTTAAGTGAACTGCACCCCGGTCCTGTTATATGACATGAGTCGTGCCTCTTTGCCACAGGGAGATGCTGATTATAATTACATTTTATTATACCCTTTTTTTTGTTGCCATGTGTATTATAAAAACTGCTCATCCACATATTTTAAATACAACTTGTTTGCATCCTTTGACAGCCACCAGAGTGTGTTGCATATACAATGCACCTCTGTGCCTTCATTTCCCTCCGCCTGGTGACAGTATCACTGTTAGGAGCTGGCATGTTGTTTTGTGCAGCACAGATGGTAACTCCCTGTGCTGTCTGCATTCAAATCTGCTAGTTAGGTTACTGTGTGGAGCTCCAGAAAACGTACACAAATGAGGTGAAAGTGGGTAGAAGTAGTGAGAAAAACTTAAGTAGTTCAGCAACACTCACAGCCTATAATATCAGTGCATTATACACGGCCATCAGAAAGAACAAAAACTGTCTAATTTCAAGCTAATTCATAGTTTTGACATATTTAAGGTTTGCCTGATGAAGACAGTGTTCCCCATATGAACCATATTGAACCTCGTGGAACGATCAAACGGAAAAAAACAAGGAAATAACAAAGAAAATGACTAAACCAGCATTAAATGTCATTGCATCTTCCTGCAATAAGCAAACATCTCACAAATGTTACCTTCCAAGCTGTGACCGTTATCGTTTCTACCTTGCAGCGTTTATATTTCCAAACCTGATATTTGTAAGTATTCGGCCACCGTTTGCCCATCTAAGAGGCTTGAAGGCTCAATTTAATTTGCTCTCTTGTTATTTTGCCTTCTGCCCACCAACTGAGAGACATTCTGAGCAGACCAGTGAAATGTATTCCTGCACAAATCACTCTGTTGATCTGACGTGTGCTGGATGCTACCTGTGATGGGAAATTGCAACAGATAGTGCTGGATATTATTCCCTATTTAATGATTCTAACTATAGTATGTTTATGCATATTGTTTGTGTCATTGTTTTCTTTTGTAAATCCACCTAAACATAAAGCCATTGATTGCAAATTTGAGAACGTCTGTTGTTATTATTGACTCATTCTTATAGCTTCAGGTATGCTTATACATTTTATTCATAGATTGCACATAATGATTTGAATCATTTGGTAGGCAATAAGGTATATGGGGCATTCTACCGAATTAGTTCAAAGTCCCACAACAAGAAAAACGATTTAACAAAACAATTAAGTATGCAGACATAGATATTTACTAAGAATATGTTATGGTCTATTTAAACATAAGGCATTACATTAGATAGTGATAAGCTTAATATACAAAAACATCATGTATTGGGTACTTTCTATTGGGAAGTAGCTGTGCCCAGCCCTGACATCTACATTTCAATTTCTGTAAATAACACTTAAAACATGTTTATTTTATGTTGTTGAATGGTGTATTTAGAAGATCTTTATGATTACATTCAAACAGAAGTTGGAATATTTAGATTAATTGTGGGTGTCAATTTTTAATTAAAAAACTATACTAAAAAAATCATGTCCCTAGTTTTCATGTCACTACCGAAACACAAGGGGTTTTAGCCACGCCCCTGCATTTTTGACAAGGCAGTGACACTGCATCCCTGTCCCTCATGGCTGAATGGCAAGTCGCTATATCCCATACTTTTGATATAAATCTGTTCCAAAATCAGAAAATCGGCGTGTACTCACTAACCTTAAGAATTGTCACTACCGAAGACATATTATCTTCAATTAAGTACACTTTTTCGGGGTTTATGCAAAGTATTATGTTGCTATGTGTGTAAACCTCTTCAAAAACGTGTATGCTAGCCATGTACTTGCTAGCATTCTTTAGTTATGCTCAAATGTAGCTAGAATCGTCACTACCGAAACAGTCACGAGCGAAACATATGGTTACCTTTTGGTAATTGACATGATCGTTTCGGGAGTGACAAAATGGAATGGTAAGCAGGTAAATCCCATAGTTTTGAAATAAATGTGTTTTAAAGTCTGAAAATCAGTGTGTTACTTTAAAGGTCTATTATACTATTGTTAGGCATATATTATAGGTTTCAGATATATATAAAAACATGTCTATGAAGTGTTTTGCTCAAAATACTAAACAGATCACCCATTCTAGCCAAATCCCCCTCTATTTCAGCCTGTTATTAAAGTGCTGATTCTGGGTCAGTAGCTTCAAACATTCACACTTCAACATAAGGCATGTTATGAGTTAAGATTAAGCAATAAGGTTGAGAGAATAAGATACAACCTTGAGAACAAAATACTGTGGTCACTCACTACCGAAACACTGGATGCTTCGTAAAGAATTAAGTATATTGACTTATCAACTAAAATGATATAATACTAATTGGTTTAATCATAATGTATGTTCGATTTCAACAATCAACTCTGGAATCAATATGATCAGTATTATGCATTTTACAAAGAAAGTTTGCATTATGATTTTTATGTATTGCATAAATTGAACTTTGAAATGTGATTATAAATTAAATTGCTTTAATTTATTTGTGAAAACCCTCAAGAAATATTTGTTAAAATACTATTTAGAGAAGGGAAGGTAAAACAATCTTAACAGGTTAATATAATACTTTTTTACTACAGTGTATGTACTATGTTTCGGTAGTGACCATTTTTGGTAGAGGAAGAACATTCCAATACAGTCTGAAAATACGATATAAAAATGTACAGTTCTTTAACTAGATATGTGTAATTTAGATATGGTACAAAATATATATGGACAAAGTTTTGGGAAAAAAACACATTTCAAAACTGTTCCAACCTGACTTTGCACCAATTCGGTAGAATGGCCCATATGTAAATGTATATAAGTATGTATGTATATGAAATTCATAACTATCATGAGATGTTTTCAATAACGCATGCTAAATATGGGGATAATGAATCTTGTATTGTTATCCCCAAATTTAAATGTATTCACTTTTTCAAAGTCTGGGTGTCTCATATTGTGACCTGCAGTTCTTTAAGTGTCCACAGAGTGTCAGTGTTGATCTGTCTCTAGCTAGAGATGCAGCTTCAGGACAGACATTGATTTTGATCAAAATAACCATTTAAGATTAACTATGACAAATTATAATCCGTATTATGTGTTTCATTATATTCCCTATTGGCCATTGGGAGGCATTTTGGGCGTTTGGAAGCGTTATCTCTGCCTCTCGAGCCACAGCCGTCCAGATCTGTCTAAACCAGATCTTGTAAATATCATTTTGTCATCTAAACTCTGGGGTAACAATCATGACTGCAGAGAAAGTAGATACCTCATACATTTCACTGTGCAGCAAAACTGTTGAGCGGACAGATGTGAAGCAGACCTGGCCCATGACCTTTAGAATCTGCACCTGTCTTGAGAGAAAGTGGATAATAAATGCGAGACAGAGCTAGCCTGTCCTTGCTCCCTGCAGCCGAGCCGCTGAATCAGCTTGGTTAGCACAATTATGAGTCTCTACATGACGTTTGACAAACGTTAACCTTCTCCCCGACTACAAGGGGACTGTCAAGCTGGCCAAAGTTGTTAGCATGGCAGTACCTCTGTGACAAAAGCCGGTGAGTCACCGACCCCCTGCTGGGGGTGCAAATCCTGCCATGACACATAAGGGTGATTTGGCTTTTCCTCCAACATGTAGAGTCCCTCTTAAGCTCTGGTACAAAGTTCATCTCATATAAACCGGTTTAAATGTTAAGGGCAAGTGCCATGCAAAATTAGTCCACAAAATCTGTCTGTTAAAATTAAATAACAAATATGAGATTTATTATTTAGGCTGTACCACATGTACGTCAAGCTAGTATGTTGTCTTGACTTGCTACTTGATTTACAATGTCAATATGTTAGCATATCATTTGTTATTTTGTTATTTATATTATATATATAGGGTAGGGTATATATGTTATTTTTAAATCCAATAATCACTCCCGTTTTAGCTCAATGTTTGGTCTCCACCAACCCTTCAGAGAAATGCTTGGCTCTTGAAAATGCAAGCAGTTGAATGCTAAACTGACCATGCCAACACACACAATGCCAACATGTTGTTTAGCTAATGTTTACTTAGCTTACATCTCAGTCTGGCGTGTTGGCATGCTATGATGCTAACATTTGGTCATTTGCACTAAACGAAAAGTAGATTTCGAACTGAAATATTTGACAAATTAAATGTTACTAAAATGGCACTAGATATAAAGTTCAGACACCAAATGATTCCTCCTCTTTGAAGTAACATATTAAATGAATCAAATTTCATAGAAAACTGTCAGAGTTTTCAAGACATTTGACTTCTAACCAAAAATGTTGTAGCACTAGATGAAAGTCAGGTGCTCCACATCGTTCGTCTTTTAGGAACCACGAACATCTGTAGACCTCAAGATGTTGTGCCAATCAATCCAGTAGATATGATTATATATAAGACTTGAATCCTTCCAACAGTAGTCCAAATACAGACTGGACCACAGTACACTGTACAAAAGAACAATGTGGCGATGCATTAGGTTATACCACTAGCTTAAATATGTTGGTTAAAGAAGCTTTAAGATGTAATCAAATTCGAAAAAGAAAAATCGTAAACTGTGGCCTCAAAGCTCACCACACAAATCAAATGCATTGTAGGTTTGAGAATTCATTTTAAAAGGTTCTGATTTGTGAGTCTCTAACAGAGTCCTCAAAGTTTGTGAGTGTTTCTGTGGGTGAGAGAAGGTGAGAGACAGAGAAAAGAGGGAGGCTTTTAACAGGTAAGTGTTTAAAAGCTGCATTTTGTGAGCTCTCCCCACGGCTTAATGTTTCATTTAGAACTGATATGCATAATTAAAGGATTCATGTATCACTTTTTGAAGGTTACCCTGCGAATAATTAATGTGTGCACACTGCACAGTAGCAGAGTGCCAGGCTCTTAGTTTTAGGGTAAGAGAAAACCCTATAATTTGTCCCATGTTTCCTTCATCTGGTGTTCTGCAGGAAGACATCCCTTAATCTCGTTTACAAATCTGCACGCCTGAACAACACTACGCCACTGTGAAGTCTCCTAAATGGCTCAGATGTTATTCTTAGATCTTGTTGGTTAATCTGTCTAACCAAATTCAAGAAACAAACCACTCTTAGCAGCGGAATAAACGTTCCTTATTCTATTTTAATCTCTTAAAATACGCATTGCTCGCAATCACAGATTCTTCCTTGTGTTGTCACAGTAGTCGTCTCCACATAGGAGTCTGTCTAGAACGTGATTATTTTTGTCCGGTCATGCTTCACCGACATGGGTTCATCTCTGCTGTAGGTGTCACTTTGAATGACTGTCAGTTTGTCACAGCAACCCTCTTTAAGCATGTACGAGAAAAAAGGGTATATCCTCTTTTGAACCCTTTAACTCTTCATCCTCCATCTCCCTCCTCCATAACTCCGCAAATCTGTCCTTTGTTCATTCCTTGTATCTCAGACCTCTTTTGCAGCACACTTACACCAGTACTAAGCATGCATACCTTACGTTTTCTAATAGTTTCTTACTTTTTACACCTCAGACCTCGTCTTTTCCCTCATATTTTCTACTCTTACACCTCTGTACACTTCCTTTAAAATCCCCCATTTCTCAAAATCCTTAATTACCCAGGGAGTTTTTGCTTGGCTGCACCTCCTCCGCTTTCCATTCCTCCTCTCATTTCTCTACTCGTGTCCTCCTCCGACTTTCCTGACCTTGTTCCTTAACCCCTATCATTTTCCATCATCCATTTTGCCTTGGAGTTGTAATGGGCTTGGCCTTTGCAGCTATTATATATTATTTCAATGGACTTTTTTTTTTACTAAAAGCACTCATGCAAAGCAAACTAGTTTCTGCAGGTCAAGTTTGTTGCAAACAAGAATTGGCTCTGTTTTTATTGGATGCAGAAACAGATCACTTTTTGATGTTAGATAGATATTCTGCTAATTTTCAGGTTCATATTTGTATTGTGTGTCTCTACTGTGACGTGTCTTCATGCTTTAATGTTCAAAAAGCTCTTTATTTTTCTCATACTGCCTGTATTTCACCCTCTGACTGAAA